CCAAATGCATTCTTTTTTTCTCCCTTTTGACTCCAATCTGTATTTCTTCATGTTCAATTTCTTTCATGAACTGTCAGATAGTGATACTGCTCGTCTTCGTGGTTTAGTGGTTTTTCTAGGTTTCGTATAATCCAAATGTGCATATGAAAGAGTCTCATGGTATTTTTCTGTAACAAAAACTTATTGTGTTTTGACTTCATATTTAAAAAACCTTTTCATGGGTTTATTGGCACTATCTAACATTTGATCTCTCCCCTTTGAACCAGCAATTATAAAAAAAAATAAAATTTATGTTAAAGATTTAACGTATCTGTTAATTAATATGTAATATGTATGTAGTAAATTCTGAAGAGCAAAAATGCTGAATGACTGTGCAGTCCTTTGATAATTTCTTTCTGTTTCTCTCAGTCCTCGTACATACAGAAGTCATGTTAGTGTTTTGTATTCAAGGAACGGGAATAAGCCCATTAATGGACTTTTCAACTTACCTTTTTTCATTCTGCTTTTTTTAGTCACCTTTTACTTTCTGAATGGATGGAGACTTCTCCCATCTCACCTTGATCTCATAAATTTTGAAAGGCAATCAGTATTCTTTAAATGGCCCAGCAGAGCAGATTCAGCAGTATTATGAATGAGGGAGAGGAGCCTTCTGTCTTGTTGGAACTTTAAGCAATGTAGAAGGTCAACACTTTCAGATGTCTTCAGGAAAGTTAGTGAATAGTTGTTTGGGGAATAACTGAATTATATTCATCACTCAGTGGTAGTACTAATTAAAACTGCCCTTCATTGAAGGCTACAGCAAAACATACCTGAATGTTTGGTTTAGGTGTCTGTGATTTCTGTGCTGAGCACCTACAATCATCAAGTGAAGTTAATGAGGTCTCAAAATTAAGAGCTAGTACTTTGCAGGGTGTCAGGACAGTGCAAGAATGAAGGACAGGAATAAATTGCTCAGAATTGCTCAAACCAATGAACAAATATTCTGTACAAGCCACAAGTGCTGCCCTGTTGTGAACTCCACAGAAAGGAAATTACAATGATTGAGTCTTACGGTCGCAAGCATGAAGTTTTGCTATAGTGAGGGGATTGTGAGAAAAATACTAGAATAGCCTGTGCCATTTCTGTTACTGGAAAAAAAAAAAAAAAAAAGATTGTCAAAACCTGTGTTATTAGTAGGGAAAAAAATACCAAATTTCAAAGCTGGAAACCCTATCTTCAAAATGAAGAAACAGAAAGGAAAAATAAGTAATTTACAGAAAGAAAAAAAAACAGCTCTGATCATACCAAATAATAGTGATCTACTTAGTCTGTCCTAGATGGGAATGGCAATTGCAGATTAAAGAAAAGACATAAATTGATGTTCCACTTATCTAGAAGTAATGTATTGGCAGCTTCTTCATAGTCAAGCTTTATTATTTTCCTTATTTTTTAGGTAAAATAAGAAAAAAAGTACCTACTAGCCCATTAAAAAATATCTATTTATTTATTTGACTTGTGTAATATTGGTAGTGCAGACAAAAGCCACTCAGCTTTCAGTCTTTATGAGTGATGATACCTTTGTAATACCAGAGGCAAGAAAAGGGTAAGAAAGGGTGTTATCTTTAAAGTAAGCCTTCAGCTGAAATACCTTAAATCGTGATTAAATCTTTTTTCTGCCTCACTTCTCTTTAAAGTAGAATATTTTTCTCTGTCTAATTGTGGCATTTTTAATGTGTCTTAATCGAGTACTGCATGAAATTCATGACGTTTAAAAGAGAAATATATGTGGCCGCAAGCTAAACTAGGAATTTATTTAATACATAGTGGTTTAGATGCACACACACATGTAAGCAAAGGTCATAAATCTACAGCCCTCTTGAGCAATAAGGGAGGGGAAAGAAAATCAATTCTAATCAGGAGACCAGTGCCAGACCTCGTAACAATTTCTCCCTACACCTGAGGTACTTAGTGACATTTTGTTTACATTTTAAGCAAAAACCTTTTAGTCTGTAATAGAACGAGTTTGGAGTAGTATAAATTTTATTTAGTAGCTGGTGGTGATGTTGTCTCTGCAACCATTAAAATCCAGGTTTAATAGAATAACCATGCAATTCATTGGCACAAGTGCTTAGGTTTGTTTTCAAATATTTTGCCATTAAAGGATATTCTGTGTGAGCAGTCTTCCAAGCCGTCACTGAGACATGATTTATTTTTTTATTTTCTGAAGTGTAGCTTTATAAAATGGGTCACTTTATTGTTCTTGAGCTAACTTGCCTTGTATCCTTGTAATTTAAAATGCCAAAATATTTATGGAAAGAAAATTAGTTCTGTTTCTGGGCAGTTAATGGAATCATCGAGGGTAGTTAGTGATTTGATTTGCTTGATATTTGTTTTTTCCTAAGTCAAAAGTGTTCTGTTTTTCATTTAAAAAAAAAATTATCATCTTCTGTGCCAGAAAAAAGTATTTAATGTGCTTCACAACTGATTCCTGTGTAACCTGAGTGTCTAGCACTTCATAGATTCAATAAATGAACAGGCAAAACCTGCGAATATTAGCAAAGAAGTTGTTTTAGAATATGTGGAGATTTTAGCAGCATGCAGATATACTTTCTAAATGCAACTTTATGGATATGTTTTGGAGTGAGTTCCTACGTATTATTAAATGGTTGATTAATCTTAAGCTTGTAAGAACTTGAATCACAGTCAGACCAGCATTGCCATATCTAAGTGTGTTTTCTGTCACAAACTTTTTCCCTCCCTCTTTTTCCCTGCCTTTACAAGTTCCTTTCTCTAAATTGGCAAAATTGTAGTTCCTAAAACTGTAAATATATATTTCCTTCCATATATAATGCAAGATATTACTGTTCTTAGTTTCCCATTAGTAAACTGCCCTGACTTACAGATTTGGCTTTTTCAGCTAGAGATTATACTATTTAAAGTGTATTTTGAGATTGAAAAATTGTACTTTTTTAAATGTAGTTATTTTAATACCTGTAAAATAGTCGCACAACAGCAATACACTGCTAAAAAAGTGAAATTTCTGATGGTTGCCTTATCGCTTAGGAAGATTTGCTTCATTTAAAACAAAAGCTAATTACATTCTCAAATTCTTATACCATGTTCTGAATGCAAACAAGATCAATCCAAATTTCTCTGTCACAATTATTCTCAGATTTGCAGCTGAAGTGAATTTTCCACATGCCTGTCTTCTGTCAGATTTGTTGTTGATAAACTAGGAATATGAGCCTCAGTGCATTTGTGTTCTTCATGAAATATTTGTTTCTGTTTGCTAGCTCATAAAGAGCAGGCTTCATGAACCACATTTCCATTTTCTCAATTTCTTATTTATTCATTTTTCAAGCACTACAGTGGTTAATTAAATTTGCCAAAAAAAAAATCTATGTAGTTAAAAAGCTAATCTTTATTTCCTTTAAATTAAAGTTAATAATTACTGCTAAAGCAGGAAAGATCAGATATGAAGAAGCTGGATAAATGTGAAGCTGAGAAATCTGGTTTTCTCCCAACATTTTTTTTTCATGTGCTCCTTCACAACTGTATTCTCATCTCCCTATTTATTTCTGTTTGCAGAGATTTATTGTTCATGTTTAGCAGTGTGCCAGTACTATGAGCCATATTGTGCTTTGCTTTACCCACTCTGTACCCCTGAAATCAGCTTTCAGTGGCTTTGTGTCAGCTATTAGTAATTGTGTATATTTAAAATAATAATATAAATTATCTAGAATTAATTCACTATAATATACAGCACTGAAAAATAAAGTGGTAGTCCAAAAATCCTTAACTCGTGTGGTCTATGGAAAAACAGAGATTCTCTGCTGACAAAGATAGTACAGAAATCTGGTTTAGGGAAAGGTTAGTATCATCATTGCCACAAGGAGTGAGTGCAGAAGTTAGTAATGTGGAAGAGATGGGAGGAAAATCGGAGTTGTTCGTGGCAAACCAGGGACATTGCAACCTGAAGATTAGAGAAACCATATCCAGGGGTGAGAGTGAAGAGAACACCTTCATAAGGTGCTTTCTGATGTTGTATTTAAGCTCATATAAACTTGGTAAAGGCCCTTTATTCCAGTTTACACCAGGGCTACTGTGCCTTTCCTACTGTCATCTTAATTGTAATAAAAAAGCTGTACTTTTTGTGGTACTTGAGCTTTAGGCCAAAGCCTTGTTTCTGAACAGAAAGACAACTGTTCATGCTAAAATGGCATGAACTCTGGTGCTTTGGATTTCCTTTTTAAGTGGTTGGGTTTCTTTTTTCCTTCCCTGTTGCTTCTGGAAGTCACAATCCAAAGCAACTGGAGTTTCAGAGTTTAGTGTTTGGAAGGGAAGTGTATTAGCTTTTCTTAACTGTGAGTCAAATATCTGTTTTAGGTGAAATGTGATAAAACTAGCACCCAGAAATAAGGGAGACTTGCTTACAGACCTTGTACACAGTGGAAGGCTGGAGGACCTGAGGTTTTGCAGACTGAGTTCCCAGCCTCCTACACATGGGGAAGATAAAAATAAGGAGTAGATGAGCAGTTTGATTCCGTGCTGTGAATTTATTAGTCGATGCTGTGCCAAGCTGCTGCAATGGCTAGTGGTAGGGAAAGGTATCCCCTCCTTATTGTTAAATATAATGTGTGGCCTGCTGCCATCAGCCTGTCCTAGCTGCCTGCATAGTCTGAAAACTGCTCTTAAAGAAAAGCAGTGTACGAGTTCTCCATTTCATGTTCATAATGATTATCAGTAAATTTGAATCTCTGTTTAGGTGAAGCTATATTTTTCTAACAGTATTCTTTTAAACAATTAAGTGTATTCTTTGGAAAGTAGGACTAGAAGTCAAATCAATTTACAGAAAATCATGACATATTGGCGTTGATAGAAAGCTTGACATAAGTGGAACTAGTTTCTTTTTATGCCTAATAAAAATATTCTGTGTTTTTTTTCCCCATAATTTTTAGTAATGCAGTGGTTCTTGTACTGTAATTAGAAGTGAATTTAATTTTTATGCTTGTCCACTCTAGGTACAGAGATCCAGAAATAAGCAGTTACGTGAGCTGTTTCCAGATGGATTTAGTATTCATCATGCAGGAATGCTGCGGCAAGACAGAAATCTGGTTGAGAACTTGTTTTCTAATGGACGTATCAAAGTCCTGGTTTGTACAGCTACGCTCGCCTGGGGTGTCAATCTTCCTGCTCATGCTGTTGTTATTAAGGTTAGAGCTTCCATTACTCTGCACATGGGTACTTGTCTCAAAAGAAACCTGTAAGGAAGCATAGATAGCAAGATCTTTATTGTGGGTTTGGGGCCCAGAAGGGAAATATCTGATTGACGCGAAATGTTATTTATATCTCATTAAACTGATTCTCTCCAGTGGGAGTCTAGTTTGTATAGTAAAGATTTAAATATATCAAAGATTGTGAAAGGATTAGTTAAAGTACACTTCTGAAATCATGCTATATTTGCCTAATTTCAGTATTCAGCTCATCAGGATTATATTCATGTGTATTTATGTTAATTTTTATTAACTTTTCCTCAACCAGGGAACACAAATATATGCTGCAAAAAGAGGCTCCTTTGTTGACCTTGGAATTCTAGATGTCATGCAGATATTTGGTCGAGCTGGACGGCCTCAGTTTGACAAATTCGGAGAAGGCATCATTATTACAACTCATGATAAACTCAGTCATTACTTGACTCTTCTTACTCAGCAGAATCCAATTGAAAGCCAGTTTCTCGAAAGCCTTGCAGACAACCTAAATGCAGAGGTAACCTTTTATTTATTTAGAGAAACTAGTAAACTTTAAAATATTAATATTACTTGAAACAAAGATGCAATTTTGTCACACAAAATATCTGAAATGGAAATTTTATTACTGGTAGTCTGTAGGTGTGTATGTTTGAGGGAGTGAACTGTTATACATATGAAAATGTTGGGGGCCTTTTACAAAATGTAGTAAGTATTAGAAGTTGTACTGGTCAAAATACCATTAAGATAAAACTGTAGGAAGACAGCATTTACCTTTTAATCAGAAGCACTTTAATGAGTTTAATCAGTGTTCTGCAAAACTGCAAATTAAAATCCTCAAAAAAATGAAACCGTATCTGTAAAGAAACAAGCTTAGTTTTGGAATAGACTTTTAGTAGCAGTGGAGATTTCAATCTTTTCTGTGGCGAATATTGTAATAAGTGATGGTATTTGTATGGAAGATTTGATTGCAAATGAGGAAAAGAAGATTTAACTTGATGAACCAGGAGTTCCAGGCCTATTTCTTTCCTCTCAGCTGAGCATGCTTGCTTAAGGAAGTATGAGATTTATGCTATTAATTTTCAATGTGCAATATTCTGCAGAGAGAGATTGGTTTTAAGGAGCAGCGTGTTGTTCCTCTGATCTGAGCTGTAGTTCTGAATAAGCACAAATTTTCCGACAAGGCCAGAAAGCAGAGATGATTCTTATATGTAAGGTTAAAGGGAGGGTTTCTTTGATTCTGAGGGAACAGACATGAATTTTACATTTATTGATCATCTTATGCAGAGGAGAAAAAAAAATTGAAAACTAATTCTATTTTCAGTATCAAAGACGTATTTGGTTATAGATACACTTCAGAATTCCTCTCCACTTCCTCATTTTCCACTGTACCGATTGTGAATTCTTAGTTTTAAGTCCTAGGTATTTGTCTCACATGAAGTGTTTGGAATGGCTTAAAAAAAATTTACAATTGCATGTTTCTGTGTGTTATTGTACTAGATAGTAAATTAAGGTACCAAACTGCTGATAGCATTGACTTTGGTGCAGTTAGCACCAAAAAAAACACACTGAAGGTAGAACAGACATGGTTGATTGTTAGAATACAAAACAATTCTAATTTCTCCCAGGCTTCTGATTTTAACAGCCATTTTTAAAAGTAGTAATCTCTTATCTTTTTCCTTTTTGTTTTCTTTTCCCTGCATTTAACAATAAACGCTTTACTAGCATAAAAGCTGTTAAAAAATAAATCACTGGAGACTTGGAAAGTTAAATACCATTCTTTAGCCCCAGCTGAGTATGTTCGAATGGGTACTTAGTAAAAAGGGGGAAAAGGCATCCAAAAGCAAGGCATTCAAGCGGTAAAAGGCTCTATGAGCTTAGAACGTCTACAGTAACTATGAAATACTAAAAATTATCCAAAAGAAAATGAGTAGCAGCAATTTGGGTAAGATCGGTAACAATAAAAGCAATCTTAAGAATTTTATTGACTTTTAACAGTAGTCAAGTATCCAAGTAGTTTTCTGAAAAGTAGTGCTAGTAGGCACTGCAAAAATAATTTGGTTACATTGAAGGCATAAAATTAAGAAGGTAATACTCCTGTCCTGTTAAATAGTAGAACTAAATAAGAAAAAATGTGGAATAGAACAATAACTCTGTTGTGTAGGAGACAGTTATCTAAACTTATCCAATCAAAGATATATAGGAAGTGTGTGACATACAGAATAATAAAATCTACTTACTATTGCAAGATTTGGGGTTTGAGGAAATGTGCAGAAAATTGACAAACTAGTTTAGACAAAACTATTTCTTTTCAGATTTTGTAGTGTGGTAGTGTTATCTGAAAGGAAGAGTGTACTCCTGGCTTTAAATTACTGAAGATTCTGTGGCTGCAGTACAGTTCCAGCAGCTGAGATTTTTTTGTTCGTCACTGTGATAAGTGGTTGTTAGTAGAAATAGCAATGGAAAATGCTGAAAAGCAATACAGTAACAACGGCATGAAACCACCGTTTTTTGGTCATCTGGTATGTGTGGTGTTACTTCTGTCATGACATGCAAGAAAAATTAGCACCTGCCAGATTACAGGAAATCAATACTGTGAGCAGTTACAAGGACCTATTGTGTTAGGAGGGTTTTGGAAAGTAACTTTATCATTTCTTTATAATTCGAGTCAGTTTAAGCTTCTGTATATGCTGATTTGATCTAACTTAGTGGAATCCTCTGAGAAGGATACAGGTGCTTTAGAAATTGTTATGTTTATCTGGAGGTGGCTATTCCATAAGCTGCAGCATTCTGAAAAAAAAAAAGAAAAATTTAAAAACATATGCCATCATACTTATCAGTAAATAGTCTTAGGAAATACATTCAGTTTTGGTCATCCCTTTGATAGTAACTAGCACTATATATTGGGACAACATATGTGTTTATTGACTTATTTGTTACAGAAATCTCAACAGTATGCTGATGGCCGCTATCATCTTTGCCTTAACAGAGCATGTTATTAGTACAGGAAGTCTGCCCTGATGTATAATAAAACAACATATTTTAGGAGCGTAGTCTGTTTTTCTTGCAAGTCATTCAGGAAATCCAAATACTTATGCTGTAGTTGTAAAGAGGAACCAATTAAAGGCCAGAAGCAATGCTGAATTGTTTAAATTCTTAATTTATTATAGATGGATTGGTAGCTAGAAAAAAATAGTAAAATAAAGGCAGCAGTTGGAAATACGTTAAGACTCCATGTTTCCAGAAGAATATGAAGTTGCTTTTATCTAGACAAGGTCTCTTGACAGAAATAAGTAGGTGGTAAGAATGAGGCAGTGATTCAGACATTGGGGTAATACAATATGTAGTCCTAGCCACACAATCACCAGATCAAATCTCGTCCCTTGAATTTTGTATGTTTGAATAGACCTTGAATTTTGATCCTTGAATATGATGCAAGACAGAAAATTTGGGCACTGAGGCAATAAAATTTGGGTATTTCTAATTCTCCTTTCAAAATTAATTTTCTAGAAGTACAAAATTTTCAGGGAGGATGGGCAAAGGAATAGATCAGCTTCTATGAAAGGAACACACTAGTTTACCTGCATGTTTCAGGCAAGAACAAAGATAAATGGGAGATTATATGACAGAGTTTTATGAAGGAAAGAGTGATATGGCAAAAGAGTGAATTTCTCCTAGGAAAAGAACCAAGTGGCTTATTGAGATGAACCACTAGCAGGTTCAGAAAACACAAAAGAATGCCAGCTGGGTGGTTAGACTATGGAAATCTTTGCTGCAGGGAGTCGTACCTGAAAGGTAGAACAGTCCAAAAATGCACAAAAATGAAATAAAAATCAATTGAAAGATATCAAATGCAAAGACAGTACCTTTACCTAAAGTTCTTGAGGTGCAATAGTTTAAGGATTTGGGATAAATTTATATGATGCTTGTTTCTTATTGCCACATTCTGCCCTTCAGCATTTGGTGTTACCTATCATAGAGACAGCACGCTGGCCTTGATGTCCCTGTTCATTTTCTCCTAGGAGAGCTACAGAGTGAGAAAAGTCGAAATACACCCAACTTCATTGATTTGACACCAAAATTAAGACTTTAAATTTGTATGTCAGCACCTCAACCCACTGAGAATTCTTTTGTGCAGATTTCTTCTGACATTTGTTTTGGGTTTTGTTTTTTTTTTTCTTCTAAAAATGGTCAGAAGCAGCATAAATGGTCAGTGATGATCAACACAGGTGTGGAGATGCCCTTTTCGTTTTCTGTTAAGGTTGTGCCACTGGGCATAATGGAATGTAAAAAGGAATAAAAGAAACACCTTGTTAGGGTGCTTAGTTGAGAGGAGCAAGTCCTGAGTCAGTTGACCAGCTGGCAAGCAGAAAAAACCTACCGCTGTATTTTCTGGAAAAGCAGGAAGAAAGATAAGATGCAGGGGATGTGGTTTAATTAGACCATAAACTTTAACTTATCTGGGAACTATCATCAATAGCTCATACAATGCAGGTCACTATTCCTTCCCTAATTGTTTCCACCTGATAGAGCTCCCCCTGATATCCGCAGCTGGACCCCAGCTTGTTGCTGGGGTGACTCCTTTTTCCAGAGAGCTTAGAAACTGAGAGAATTTGCAGTGCTGGACAGTAGGTATACCTTCCCCAGGGGATTTTCCTTTCCTTGCATTTAATTAAGATTTTGTTATGAAGCCAGGAATGTAAAAGAAACACTCAGGAGCTGGGTAACTAACAGCTAATCCTGGTGTGGGGCAAAGCACTGCTGGGGGAAACTGAAGTTTTCTCCCTGGGTGTCCAGGGCCCTTGGGCTTGACCAGACCTGCACAAGACCAGCAACCTCATCCGTTCCCCTCTCCTCTTCTTCAGCTGTGTTCAGACGGTTGACAAGTTATTTGGAGTTAACGTACAATGACATTTCTGATGTAGTCCAGTTGTACCTAAAATAGTCCTTTGGTCACGTGTGACTGTTGGAGTTGCTGTCCCACTTGGAATGGTTCTAGTAGCATTAAGAAGTTATTTCAAAAGTCATACAAGAACAAGATCATAATCACTTCAGATGCTGAAGTACTAACTCAAAATACACTGGTTTCCAACGCAAATAAAAGATTGCTTTTTAGGTTGTTAGAAAGATTCCTTGCTCTCTTACCTTAACAACAAATATTTGATTCATATATATAATTTTTTTCACCCATGTAACCTGACTTAATTATACAAATATAATAGCAATTAAACATTCTTACATAAAAAAACAGGATATTATGTTCTCTTATATGTTATATAATACAGTATATATTAGCAGTAATATTTTTATGCCCTTTTCTAATCTGCATATAAATATCAGAGAAAAACTTCATTCTTCAAAAACTACCACCAAGAAGCTCTGCTACTTATATCTGTTTACACTTGTTTGAAAATCAATAACACCTCCTCTGAAATACTGCTCAATTTGATAAAGTCTGCAATTAGCATTTGTAAAAAAAAATATTTCAATGAAAATGCAGACTACTACATAACCACATCATTTGGTGTTGGTGATATCAGCCATTGAAGAATTAGTTGAACGTTTATGAGCATGATGATCTAATTTTTTTCATTTAAAGTGACACAGTGAGATTAATATACTCCTCAAGTTTTCATTTTGTGAGTGCAACACCATTATTTATATTTGAATGTTTTTTTTTTAAAAAAAGCATTTTGTGATGACGCGTGCAATCAAAAAATACAATGTCTACATAGTAAATATTTCTACTCATTGATTAATCTATCTATAACTAATTACTTATACATGGTTGAGGAAACTGGAAAATTTAGAACTTTTTCTTTCATTTTACTAAGTATCACCTCATCTGTTTATTGATTTTATAAATACTGCATATTTTAGGTCTTAACAGAGCTTCTCTTAACTTTGTAAATAATTTATTTCGTAATTACTATTAAGTGTTTGTGTTAATAAGATCTGATTTTCATACAGTTCCAGCACACGGATACGCTTTCAAACCATCAGAACTTTACTTGAACACTAGATGGCAGCAAACATTTATTAGTTGCCTTTTTGTTTCTGTCTCTGCATTTTATGCATTGACTATTCATTAAAGTTGGTTGAGAAAGTGCAGTGTTAGATTTCAGTACCGTATCTGAAACCCCACTGTATTGCGTAATCACTTTTTTCCCTTACTTTTACTTTTAACTCGTGGAAATGTTGAATTTGTAAGTAATACAATCAGATATTTGAACAAATGAGGAAAAACTGAGGTTTGTTTTGGCGGGGGGGGGGGTAATTGTCAGACTTCACTTTCCTCAGTAATGAGAATTTTAGATTTTCATGACTGTGAAAATTGTTATTTGGGTGAAAATGTTGTTATGTGATTTCACAGTGTGTACTGAAAGATATTTGAATCATGGAAAGAAACCAAATACTGAAATTAACCCTGGTAGCAAACCAATTAGTTTGTGTTGGATGTGGGCTGTAGGAGCCTATGAAGAACTGTAGCTTTTGTAGCTACTTAAGTGCATTATGTAACTATTTACTTTGTAAAACAACACCTGACCTCCTTATGCTATTGAAGAGCAAATTATAGCTTGAAAAATATGTAAGACAAAGCTTGGGGTTACTCCAAGTCATTAGTCATTAATATCAACAAGGTTTTGCCTGATTTGATAGTTAAGGCAGATTTGGCTTACATTATTATTTTTTACTAGATATTTCTGTTATTTCAAAATAGCACATTATGCAGGAAATATTACATTCTCTGGGTAAAATCAAATTAACTGGAATTAAGCAGTAAAATGCTTCTCAGGAATATAACCAATACAAAATAGATCTGAAATTATCGTGTAAAAATGTGTGTATGGTAATTACTTTGGTGCTAGAACTATTGAATTGGCAAAAAAAACTCAGTAAAAAAAAAAAAAAAAAAGCCAAGGCTGTATATCTGATTCAGCCTTGAAAAATAAATAATATATATTACCTGTTCCATTTTGGTATGTTTTGATATAACAAGAATGTAGCAGGTACCTGTATATCTGAATTGCTAGAACAAAAAGGAGAAAACTATTTGTGAAGTCTGTGTGTAAAAAAATTGCCAAGTATGAAGGCACGATGAAGAAAATCCTAAAGATGGTTGCTGTCATTTGGGTTAGGACTTGCGCTTTCACACTGATATGAATAATCTTTTAAATGTAAATAGATTTTTCAAGGTAAAGAATTATGTCACATATCATACCATGTTATGGTATAATGTTATATAAGATGAAGATGTGTAATGATGATTCAACAATGATCATTTTAAAATAATATTCTATGATGATTATTTTAAAATAAAAGTTGGAAACATACTGCTGCTTTCTTTAGTGCTAATGCTCTGAATTCCAAGTGGTTTCAGCTGTTACAAATACTTACGTTCAGCTGTAACATAGATGTTTAATTTTGTCTCTTCTCCTATTTCCAGATTGCTCTTGGAACAGTAACTAATGTGGAAGAAGCAGTAAAGTGGATAAGTTACACTTATCTTTATGTACGGATGAGAGCAAACCCATTAGTATATGGCATCAGTCACAAAGCTTATCAGGTATAAAATGCATTTTAAAAAAATCTGTAACCTGTTCTAGGTCTCTAATCCTTCTCTGATGTGAGGATAAATATTTGCTATTTCTACTTAACCTGACATCAGCAATTCTTTTAAAGTGCTTAGAAAAGGAAGATATTTTCTGTAGCAGAGTATTTTTAACGCTAAATTAAGAGGCCCCTTCTGTTCACATAAAAACACATTTTAACTGACCAAGTTATGCTCCAAAGGACAACATTCATTCCTAACAGACAATTACTGTAACTTAGCCTATCGTCAGTTTTTCAATTTTGTAGGCTAGATATAAATGGTAGAATAAAGCATTCTTGAGTTGCTTGCTTTCCCCTGTCCCCACCACCTTTTGGTTTAGAATGTTTCATCACGTGGTATCTTATAAATTATAAAATTACATTTTTAATTGAGGGTTTTTTTTCTTCCCTGTGATTTAGTAATTGTAAGATTTTTTTATTCATTTATTTTATTTGGCTTTGTTTATTTGGAGTGTTCCGTGCAGGATATAAATCAGAGCACAGTTACATAAGGGTGGTGTTCAATTTTTTTTTCATTACACGTAATTTTTAGGAATTTAACAGTTCACAGATTATCTGAATATTATTACTTTTTTCTATCCAGCTGTTTATAAGCATAAACATGATGACATAGTTTGAACATGGGCAACTGACCCCAATGCAGGTGAAACTCTCACAAGTGTACAGTAACTACAGTTTATTTCACATGTCCTGAATCTATTTTGTGATTTCATAATTTGTTATGATACTGTGAGACGCAGTTGTTTAGGTCATAGTAACGTGTAGAGATACATATCAGGAAGCATTTCTTGATAGCTTTTGTGTCTGATAGTGGAAACTGAAGCAAAAATAGGTAGACATTTTTTTGAGCAACTTTCTATAGACACCTTTAGACCTCTGGTCATCTCAAATTTGTTTTCTATAAAAAGCCTTACAGTTTATTACCATATGTTAATATGGTAATACTGTATAACACAAATCACTAAGTAATAGATAAATGAAAAGCAAAAATTAGTTTGCAGATGAGAAGTTGTTGTCCCATTCCTTTAAATGCCTTTAAAAAAAAAAGAATCAGATTTTTTTTTGACCAGTGTTATTAACAGATTTTAGATTAAAAGAAATGTATCCGTGGTGGTAATAACTGGTAAAAAAAAAAAGGTAGTAAAACGTTAACAGAAATATTTCTGTAAATTTAAAAAATAATAAGCAAGGGCAGTTGCCCCTTCCCTTGATTTTGTGTTTTCATTCAGCTGGTGAGAAATTGGAGATTGCCAGAAGTTGTCTTTTCCTGCTACTAACCTCCGTTCTGCCCCTTTGGATTTGATGTGCTAATAATAAACATTACTATTTTTGTGTTAAGGCAGTAGCAAATTACATCAATTTGAAGTGTTATCCATTCATGTAGGAGCAAACCAAATGCCAATCACGTTATTTTCTACATAAACCATTTTTAAACTCCAAAGCTATGTGCTATAGACAGTATACGGATGGTACAGTGCCAGATGCGGGCATAACCACAGGTTTGCTCACTTTAGGCTGTTCTGTTCCTTCTGTTCTGAGTATAGGTATCCAATTTTCATAATTGGTGTCTTACTGTTTCTTACTAGTGTCGCAGCATGCCAATTTCTGTCTCTGTTTTGGCTGACAGTCAATGCTACCCATTCAAAATCCAAATATCTGCATAACCATCATGGGTCACAGTTCCCAGCTATTCAGTGGGGCTGAGAAAATGCAAACGTATTCTGCTTTCCCTTTCCACAGGTGCTCACCACACCCAGTAATTACTTTAGGGCACCATGTGTCCAGCCTGTCCACACAAAAGGGGTGTGTTTCACCACACAAGGAGACCAGGGCAAGCACGCATCTGCCTCTGGGGTATTACTCTTCCCCACCTGGCCCGCTTCTGGGCTATGCCCAGGAGTAGGCTGCTCCAGGCACAGTGTTTTGATTTATGACTTTTCAAGTTGTTTGTTAGGAGTGCCAGTAATGCCTTTTACTGAGTTGAAAAAATGGCCAAAATTATGATGAGAAGCAAGTAGAAACAAACAGTGGAAGGAAAAAGTTGAGCAAATGTGGGTGTCATATGAATTAGAGGAATTTTTTCATCCTTTCAGGGTTCCAAAGAAAAGGTGGTCCCTTTGTCCTTTTTCTCCTTTTGTTTCCACTCTGGTGTTGCCATAGTTAAGCAAAGTTTTTTATCCCCATAAGGTGTATGTTTATGTTTAGAACATCTGTAAAAGTTAGAGGAGTTTGTCCCCAACGCTTCTCTGTTAGCTAGAGGAAAACGTGAATAATAACACAGTTTATCATGCATTCTTAAATTTCCATATGTATACTCCAGACCTACTCTGTTTCTTGCTGTGGGCAGGACAAGGTTCATTTTTGAGAGTCTGGCTGTTCTAGGCTGGATCTTTTACTCTGGATTTCTGATTACACAAATTCAACAAGAAGGTTCCTAGCCATGGGTCCTGCAGACTGGAATATTGCTTCACAGCCTTTTTCCAATTGGTGACCTTTCCTTTAAAGTTAAAACCTTTGTTTCTGTAAAAAAATGTCAGTCTACTGTTACAGCTTTAGCTTTTTTATATGTAAGACAAAAAGATTGGCAGGTAATTGGGACTGCCAAAGGAGTAGGTAAATTTTGATATTTTTTAGATTTTTTTTTCCCACTCTTTTGTTTTAAGAAATGTTAAAACATCTGGCATCCTGATCACTTTTTTTTGACCACCTCTGATCTGAAATCTGACCTCAATGCATGACTTACTATTGAGAAAAGCACTCTAGACCTTTGCCATCTTAGCTTTTGACATGAAACTAAGGCAAGCCATAACTAAGGAGAAACAGCTTCAGAGTAACTGGCAAAGATGGGGATTATTAGGAGCTAGCCTTGCAGCTGCTTTGTGGAGATGTCTGTATTTGTCTGCAGCTTCACTGAATGTGAGATGAAGCACTTCAGCACAGAGATGAAACTGAATCCTGGCCCAGGGAAAACCAGAGCAAACCAAGGCATAGCAATTCTTAAAGCTAACTCCTTTTTGTTGTCTCAGTCATATATCTCTGGTGCAGATTTACCAAGAGTGCTGGTGAGTGACTTGCCCTGTAGGAAATCTGAACTATACAAGCCCTGAAATAAGAATGATGCCTGCGGACTAGACCAGAGTTACAATCCTTTCAAATTTGGTGACTTGTGTAATTAGAACCGTATCTCAGGTGCATATATACCAGAGGGTTAACACAACTACAAATCCCTTTTCACCCATCCTCATCAGTGTGAGTATCCCAGGTGCATATGTGGAAACACACAATAACAGCAGTCCCGCTCAGATGGGAGTTTTGCCCAGCCTTGTATGTACTAATAAGATAATGTACATCATTACTTGAAAAAAATGTCGAAGTTCCTGAACTTTGATATGCATAGAAGTGCTGTTTTGCACAAGCAGCTCCTTGTGTGCTTTTAATGTGAATGTTTATGAAGTACATCAATAACTCAATAATTACAATATCCCAGATGACATACTCAAAGCTTTTGGGGGCATAAGAGTTTTTTTGCAATTCATTTCAGCCACCCAATTTGACGTTTATTCTATTTGGGATACAAAGTCATCCTCATGTCAGATACCCAGGCAAGGTATATCCTTAGCTATTTTCATAAATAGAAGATACCATAAAATGGCATGTTTTTGTGGAGTGATAATGATAATTTCATGATGAATATATTGTCACTAAAACTTCTTTTGAAAACTTCAGTGTAAATTTATTTCATAATCATGCTTTTTCATAATTACTATTAGTCTACATTGCATTGTTATTCTCGAAGCACTGTAAAAGGAATATTATCCTGATTGTTTTGTCCTGTACAGACAGTTCTTGGTCAGTAATGTCAGTGTAACTGTTATTAGTGAGATCTCAGGAAAATCATTTTATTTGATTTCTGCCTTTATGTGACTGGGTTATCTCAATAAAATTATTTACTTAACACTTTTTCTTTCATACAAATAAATATGTGTGTTTCATGTCTAGATGGATCCAGGTCTAGAAAAGCACAGAGAACAACTGGTAATTGAAGTCGGCAGGAAACTGGACAAAGCCCGTATGATTCGTTTTGAAGAGCGAACTGGCTTTTTTTCTTCAACAGATTTAGGCAGAACTGCCAGCCACTACTATATTAAATACAATACTATAGAGGTAAATTATGATGTTCTATTTCTGGGGTTTTTTTTCTTCTTTTTGAACCTGTAACCCAAAATAGTTGTAAGATATTACAGAATATGTAGCTGATTTGTTCAGTATATTTTCAAATCATACTTACCAAAATGGGGAGAGATGAAATAGAGAGGAAAAAGAAATAAACTAAATGTAAAGCAATACTGAAAATCTAGACTTGGAGTGAAGTAAGGTTTGAAATTTTTATTGTCAATCCTTTCTTTTAGGTGAATTATAAAAAACATTCTGATATCAACAGTGTGCACAACCATTGATACATGATAGCACATTCAAATTTAGAATCTGATAACAGAAAAGTTTTTCTGCATGAAATTCCTATCACCTTGCCAACCTTAAACAACTTTTTGTACTGTAATCAGATTGTGTTATGAATGTGTTGGAAAAATGCATTTGTACAAAACTTTGTAGTATTGGAAGCTTGATTTGATGTACACATTCATCTTACAACCTTTTTTTAATAAGAAATAAGTCTTTTTCTTGAACAGAAGCTGAAGACTGAGTTAATAATGTTTAACTGTTTACTGTCACTATGTATAATTAGTATCACATATATTTATTCACTCAAACATGTCCTATACTTTTTTGAAATGTCCATAGACTGCGTGACTCTCAAGTTTGGGTTGCCTGAGTATAAACGCACTGTTTTTCTGAAAGTGCTAAGAAGTCATTCTAGAAATTGTTGCTGTTTAAATTGTATCACTCTGGTCTTCAAATAACTTACATTTTAACCTTATATGCCTTTTGAAATCTTGGTTAGTGTTTCTTTTGTGCTGTATGTGTATGTTTATTTTCAGTATTAAATCAATTTATTTTATTTTTAACAGACTTTTAATGAATTGTTTGATGCGCATAAAACAGAAGGTGATATTCTTGCTATAGTATCAAAAGCTGAAGAATTTGAACAGATAAAGGTAAAGTTGTATCTTTTCATACAAAGAATGTCTTAAAACTAGACACTACTGTAGTACTCACTCCAGAGTGTCTACAGACCCAAGTTTTGTTAAATAATAAGCACCATAATAAAATGTTTTCTAAGTGTGCATAATTGCCAAGAACTATATATGCTATCACTCAAATTTATATGTTCAGCTTGAACTGTAGTGCACATTTAATAACTAGTTATGGATCTCTGAAAATTCCTTTTAAATGCTTTTAAGAACTTTTCCGCTCCTCAATTATTAACAGGTGAAGATAAGCGTCCATTGGAGTGGTGCACCCAGGGATGAGAAAGTTTTTCTGTTTGAAGTTTAAACCTTTATTACATATCTCCATGAGCAATTTGCTTAATCAGAAATGAGGCAGGACTCACTGAAGTTAACTCTGTGGTATACTTCATGTAGGGAACAATATTCAAGTAGCAGAATGATAAAATCTGATAAGTTATTTTCAAATTTGAAATCTAGAAAGTTGTTGTAACAAATTTTTTTGTACAGGCTAGATTACTGTACTGTCATACTCAGTTCAGTTCCAACCTCCTTTTTGCCTCCTGTGTGGGTAGGACTCAAGATAATTCATCACAAGCTGGCATGAGCTTGTTTGCCCATGCTTCTATATCATGGAGGTGCAAGCCAGACCCTGCAGGGTTTATTAGCTTGGGCTCATTGCCATTTTACGACAATTACACAACTTTCAGATCAGAGTTGGCTCTCATTCACCTGGCTCTGCAAACTGGCTGTGTGAATCCCACACCATCTACATATTTACATATTTGCACACATTGTATGAGTATTACCATCTCTTTATCTAATGGAAAAATTCTATTTTGCTGTAATCTTTTCCATTATAGAAGATAATAAGCAGTGAGGTTTTACACACAAACACTGATACATGCAACGTTTTCCAAGCTAAAAAGGATTTTTTCTGATAGTGATACCGCTTTGCTAATTCTAAATTGAATATTTAAAAGGAAAACATATGGAAAATATGATGTGATAAGTTTTTATATTTGTAGTAAAGTTAGTAGTAATGCTTCTGGACTAAAGTATAGTTTTTCTAATTTTGTATGGTTTTCTCAGATTTGTATGGTGTGGCATCAATGCGCCATAATTTTCAGTTTCTTGTGATTAATTTGCTGTGCAGCTCTGAATGTTAAAACTAGTAACTGATTTTCACAAGAATAACTCAGGATTTATTCCACTGTGTGATACAAATTGTGACTTTTGTTAATATGAATCATGCCTTCATAATGCCTTTAGACATTCTGTATTTTAAGATAGGTAGGTCACCAGTAGCTGAAATACAGATCTGGATTTGACCTTACTGTATAATGCAAGAGCAGAAAAAATTATTAGAAATGCTGTTCTACGCAGAGCATACTATTCCCCTGACACTGCAGTCATCTGTGATGGTTGTGTCTTTCATTTTTTTCTTTCCTATAGGACTAGTGGCTTGAAGTTGGGAATTTTATCCCTGTTGTCTCAGGGTATTTTATATGTCAGGTAGTCAGGTCCAAATTAAAATTACTTTCAGCTGGTTCCCTGCAGGGACCAAACATTTACCCTCTTTAAATAAGTTTTACACTAACAGACTATCAGTAAATCAAAGAATATGTAGATTTATGCTGGTTTTGCCATGTAAGGGTCATCAGTTAGAATGTGAAATGTTATGCATTATTCAAACCATAGATATTAATATTTCTTTACTCATATTAAAACTTAATCTTATTAACAGTGAAAATTTTAATATCGTGAATCATACTACTTCACAGTTTTGAGTTTAAAATGTATTATGCCACATGCAAACTATGTAACTATAATGAGTACATTTAATGTTAATTCAAGACTGCCCTAATCCAGATGGACAGAGGTTTTACTCTGGTCAAATAAAAAATAAAATCTCATCAGATGAAGGATGGTAGGGTCAGAAGATTCAATTTTGGTGGCATATCAAATTTTTGTATGTCAATGGCAACCTTAATAGATAGTGATGAATAATAAAATGTAATTGTGTCACTATTAAGATAGTTTCAATTATGCTCTATTAGCTACATTGTGGAAGATGCGGGTTTGCTGCTTTTTTTTCTTCTTTTTTTTTTCTTTAAAACTAGAGACTCCGTTTGAAAATAATGTAACTATGTTATAAGGAAAAATTTGATTTCAGTGTAAAAATTCTTATCAAATTGCTCCAGCCTCTTCATTATCTATAATTGTGTTTTAGGTAAGAGAAGAAGAAATAGAAGAGCTGGATACCTTACTGAATGATTTCTGTGAACTTCCTGCTCCAGGAGGTGTGGAAAACAATTATGGAAAAATTAATATCCTCCTTCAAACATATATTAGCAGAGGGGAGATGGACAGCTTTTCCCTTATTTCGGATTCTGCGTATGTTGCACAGGTAAAAACAGGGAATTTACATATCTGTTACTGTCTTCTGCTGTATTCATTCTCCCAGTTGTTTACAGTTATGTAAGTAGGCCTTGATCTGCAATTTTTTAAAATATTTTAATGCAAATTGATCTGAAAATCCGAGGCGTTTGTGAGTGTGCGCATGTGTGGCATAATATTTAAGTAGAAAAGATTTCCAAAAGCCTATCTTGGGAGACTGTTGATTTTTTTTCTAATTATGAATGCCCTTTTTGTTCATATTACCCCTGCAGTCTTTTTGCAGGAGTAGTTCTAATTGTGTTTACACAGACATTTTATTCTTAATTTACTGGGGTTTCTTCTAAATCTGGAAAACTGTTGCAATGTTTTTATGGTTTCTGTACTTTTATGCTTCATTCTGCAAAACATAAGCTATGTCTTATACACATACCTTAGTTTATACAAGAAATGTGTGCTATTACAATTTTATTGCTAGACGCACTCAAGCAAAATTACGATTTGCAAAAATCATGCAAAAATATTGGTCTATATATTTGTTTGTCACTTTGAATTGACACCTGAACAGATGATATTTATACAGTATGTTTACTTATTACACAGAATAATAAGAGAACTGCAAGTCTGTAATACAGAATTGCTTGCTTATACAACTAAAACCATCTTAGAAAGAAAGGGGTGTTGCCTGAAAGTTTAGAATCCTGGATCCAGAAGAACTTGAAGAGGCAAAATGCTCATAGACAATCCCAGATGTGCAGCAATAGTGAATGTATAAAATAGATAATAAAGTTTTACCTTTTAGCCCATTCTTTGTCTCTTTTGTTTTTCTTTTTTTTTCTTGGTCAGCAACATCTTGCATTGAATCATTTTTGTCTCATCCTTAGAAAGCCATTTTGGAAATAATTGATTGTACAATTGCATTTAGTTGGTGCTAAATATGAACGTTAAGTATTTAAAAGTATATGTATTCTTCAGGAAGATTTTCATACTAACATTACCTTCTTCAGAAGTGTTTACATTTCATAGCACGTATGAGTATAAATGAGAAAATTCTGAAATCATTATGCACATCATAAAAATTGTGGTTCTTGCACAGCAAGATCATTTTCAGTATGATTCTTTTAATCTTTGCTTTCAAGACAATTGCTTTTATTTGTCTGTCTCAATTATAGCATTTTTAGTGAGGCAACATGGCCGTCTTCTCAGATCTTCATTCTACATGTGGAACCAGTGCTACAAATTGGCAGTATTTTTAATTGGATAGTGACTATTAAGAAAATAATTCGTTCTTTCTAAGTAAAAGAAATGTGCTTCTTCAGTAACATGTGCTTCCTATCATGACCAAATAATTTTCTATTTTTTATTTCTTTTGGCATTGCAGAGCCAGCAGAAAATGACTGTATTCTATTTAATGAATCAAGAGCATAGTTGTTAATCCAGGGTAGGAAAAAAACAAAAAAAGAAAATAAAACCAACCACCAAAAAGACACAACTTCATAATACAGTTTGATAAGTTTATGAAAGTAATATCATAACTTATGTTTTCAGGATAAGACTGACCTCATTCAAGCTTATGTTAATAATTAATTTTCCAAGTCCAGAACAGATTTGTACAGGTTGGTTATACAATAGTCTCAGAAGATGGTAACATTAAAAAAAAAAAAAGTCACTACTATAAAACTTCTGTGCAAACGTCATGAAATTCAATGTGTAATGGGATGCTATTATGGAAGTACAACTGAAGTAAAAAGTTAAAACTTCAGATTCATAGAAACTGAGGTTGCAGGTGTATATTATGTGCAGGCAGAGGAGGAAGATATTAGGTACAGTAGGTGAATTTCTTTCAGAAGTGATTAAGACACAATAAATTTAGAACTCCCTAATGTTAGCACAACTAGAAATTCTATGTCAGACTTGCCCCTATATTAATTAGTTGCACATGTTTCTTTTCATAATTTCTGTAGGCAACCATGAGGTAGTTCTACCACTAGACAGTGATGGAAAAAGTAGTTTTCAAGAATGTTTGAAATAAGTTTGAAAAGAAAAATCTGTTGTTACGGTTTGTCAAAGATGAGTCTATGGGATCCTTTTCATTTTACAAAGAATACTTGAGAGAATGACAACATTTTTGCTTTTTTTTCGCTCTCCAGAATGCAGCTCGTATTGTTCGAGCTCTTTTTGAGATTGCCCTTAGGAAACGTTGGCCTGCAATGACATATCGACTACTGAATCTCAGCAAAGTCATTGACAAGCGGCTGTGGGGCTGGGTTAGCCCTTTGAGACAGTTCTCAGTGTTACCACCATCAGTCCTTTCAAAGTTGGAAGAGAAGAATCTCACTATAGACAAGATGAAGGACATGAGGAAAGATGAAATAGGTGAGAAATCACCAATGTTGATCTGCTTAGACTATTAGTAATCAATGGACAAGTTAGAACTAAGTCTGAGCCATGCGTTAATATACCCACTGTGGCCTGGAAGCCATGTAGGCACATTAATATTGTATTATGCTCTAACCAATAAAGAAGGCTTATTCCATCTCCACAGCTTGTAATATGGCACAACTTTGAGGGTAAGAGTAACCCATGTCCTGCCAACTCCAGAACACATACCAAATAGAAATGTATGTTGATATGTATTTATATACATGTATATATGTACATATTTATGTTGACCTGTGCTTTCTTTCTTGCTCATATAATATAATGCACTACTATAAAAGGCATCTGTTTATTTTTACCAATTGGCAAAATATGGCCATTTTTTTTATTGAAATACTATTAACATGAAAAAGAATAAAAGCAGATTATTATGTCCTGGAATACTATCAGTAAATGGTCTGCTTCTGAAACACTGCATTAATTTTCATTGAACATGAAGCATTCATTGTCACCGGTGTCATTGCAGCAAAACCTTAATGGAATTTTTTAAAGGATTTGACACTTCAATAATGAGAAAATCCACAAGGCTACTGATACACATAATGAAAATTTCTAGTACATGTGTATAAACTGTTGTGCATAAACTGTCCACCATTTGGTTGAAGTTAAACTAAAAATAAAATATTGCTGGTAATGCGTTTCTTTTTCCTATATTAGTGTATTTTTTTTTTCTCATTTGGACTTTCTTTGCACCTGTTATCACAAAGTTGTTGAGAAACAAACTGCCATTTTTTTAAATGTTTTTTGACTAAAAATACAATTCATAGTCATGTTTTTTTAGAAGTTATTACCTCTGACTCGACAATTCTTTCATTTGACAAAAGAACTACTTTCCTAATTCAGGCAGCTTTGTTACGTGCCTAATTTAGTTTGGATAAATTTAGTTGAATAAATATGCAAAACTTTGCAGAATTAGAAGCTATCTTTTTATTTTATAAGTTAAGCTGAAATATCATGAGAAAATTTTTAGGTGTGCAGTATAATAATAATTTTATAATTTTAAATGTATTAAAAATATAAAATTGGATTTGAAAAGCTAGCATTATCATGCTTTTCTTTTCAAAAGCATTACAGCGCTTTTTATTCAGATCTGTTATTTTCTTGTCTACTTATGCAGTCTTTTTAATACTTGATATTCTTTTTGATTAACTGTATTACTTTGGGGTTTTATTTCTTTTTTTATGCTTCTTTCTCCCCATGCTTACCTGTGGAAAAGCAAGAAATTTTCTATTAAGATACAGAACCAGTTCTGCTTCCTTAAACATAGTGGAACTAGTATTGACAAGATGGAAACGTATCAATATATGTCTATAAAATGTCTTTTTATGTTAATGTAGTTTGAAAGTAGATGTAACTTAGGATTTGACTGTGAAAATATGTCATTGCTGTCTGTATGTAATGACATTTTATGTTCTTCAGCGTTATAAACATCAAAGCAAGCTGATATGTGCATTTGTGTGAAATATTATTACATGGCATACTTCTTCCTGTCTGGCCTCTGTTTCCGATACAAGGGTGTGAAGGAGGTGCTCACCTGGCAACCTCATTTTTGTTTGAATTCAAAGCCATGTTCAAATGAGAAAAGGCATACCTTCCAGGTGCTGCCTTGTTGTCTGACTCCATATAACTAGTTTCAGTCTCAGCATTTCCTCCTTTTTAAAAAGTTATTGTGACCTTGGAGATAGAATAAAAAAGACAGGAACTAGCTAGCTAACTCAGTCCATGGTTTAGGGAGTATTAAAGCATCGGATGAGTGCCAGCTCTCCCTGTGAATGAAGACTATTTTGTGTGCACTGATCCTGGATTCCAGTGTACCAAACTAATCTAGACACTATTGCAATGTAACCCTGGAGTTCCCAGCAAGCCAAGAAATCACTGTGTTATCTGACACAGTACTGGTTTTTCAGAATACAGATGACAGTTGTGGGATAAGCAAAATTTATTCTTCTGTTAAACATACTATTTTCTCAAATTGTCACCTTTTCTTGAGAAGGTTTTAATATTTCTTAAATGCCATTGATAGTTTTTAATAGTGTGACTATTAAAAAAAAATAAAAAGAGGGTTGGGGAAAGAGAGAGAGTTTTATAATATTTACTAGAAGCTGGGAGAGGAGCCTTACTTTCCCCTAGCAGTTAAGCGTACAAAACCTCCGTATTGTCCTGTACAAGCACAGTTCATGTCACATGTGATACAGAAAGTGATTTTTGGCACGCAAAAGCCTACTTGCCTATATAAGTTTATTGAGTATTTGTCATCTACCTTTATTTGAGTTTCTGAGGTTTAACCTCTAATTGCAAAAGCCAGTCCCTGTGCAAGTATGTTTTAATACTGCATGTATCACCAAGTTGTAACAATAGAATAGTTTGGGGTTTTAATTATCCACTTGCTGGAGGTGCACTTACTTCACCAACTGCAAAATAAACTGATTAAATACGTGTTAAAACATTTGCATTAGGGATTTGCTTCTTAGGCAAGGTCACCATTCATTACTTCAGAGTATAGATTAACACCTGTGTGGAGCAAAATCTGCCAGTGTATTAAATAAGGAGAAACAGAGAAGGTCAGTAACAATATAAAAAAAACCTCTAACAATTGTGAGATGTTATGCCCCTAAATTTTGTGCAATATCAAGAAAAGGTTTGTAGCACCTTTTCACTTTGCATGTAATACAAATAATGGGATTTTTTCCATGGGAAAGCGTGCACAGGGCACATCACAAAACATCACGACACAACATCAGAAAGTATCATTAGCCATTTGTAAGTTAGCTTTTAAAACTTAGGACCTATGACCATTACAATTAAAATCTAAAATATGCTCCACATAATTATATAAGGAATTTCAGTGAAAATGTTATAAATCCACCTTCTTTCCCTAAATAAGCTAGAAGTTGAAATATTTTTCGGGGGGGGGGGGGGGAATCACTGCTACATAGTATGTTTTATATTTAAAATGAAGAGCAAGGGAACAGAGGTTTCATCTGTAAAAGATAAGTAGGAATTTTTTTTTACTGAATATAATTATTGCCTTAGTTACCATGACTGTGATAGAAAATAAAATCCGTTGCAGCATTTAGTTTTCCCTTTGTTTCAGTTACACACTGATGTATCCTGAAAGATACAGCTGCTGTGAGATGTTTACTAGTTGTGTGCATTTTTAAGTGACTTACCTTTCTTCAGTTTTATGAAAAATGTTCTATCTGCTTTGAATCAGTACACAGGAATTGTAGAAGTTCAAATGTATGCCCTTCATTAAGTAGAAGGTCAGCATTCATGCTTTAAAAAAGTATGACATGGCTTGGTAAGAGCCTGGTCAAAAAGTCAGTAGAGGAAACAGAACTAGCTTGACATTACACATTTTCAGTGTGAATTCTTAATGGTTATTTTAACCCCTTAGTTATAGCCAACAGTGGGGTTAATACTGATTTTTCTAAGCTATAAATTGCTAATTCAAGTTAAGTATTACAAAATATTCAGACATGCCAGGTCAAGAGAGTCAGACATTTATGCACATAAAAGCAAAACAAGCAATAATACTCTCTAAAAGCCTATTTGAAAGTGGGAGTTGTATTATTTTTCCTGTAAATGCAAATTTGTTACACCTAATGTTTTCTTTTCAGGTCATATGCTGCATCATGTGAAGATTGGGTTAAAGGTAAAACAGTGTGTCCATCAAATCCCCTCCATAATAATGGAAGCAACAATTCAGCCAATAACCCGTACGGTCCTCCGAGTTCGGCTGAACATCACTCCTGACTTCACATGGAATGATCAGGTATAAAAAAGGAGAAGGAAGGAGGACTGGAAGCATTAATTCAGGCTCAGTAAAGAAGATGATCACAGAGAGTCCATAGTTGTTTGGATAAAAAAAAATATATATATATATATATTATTTTAGCTAAAAAACAAATTCAGTGACAGGACTGGAATGACTTTAAAGACTTTTGTAGAAGGCAGCAACCAAAGATATTCTCTTTACTTCCACTAGTTGTTACTGGCTTGTATTGTTTATAACATGTTGAAGCAAGTTCTTACATTGAATATTAAAAGTCATATACAGATTTGAGTTATATGCCCAAAAAGGAGAAGCAAGAAAAAGGGAGACACAGATGGCTGTCTGAACTGTGAATGAATGTCAAATGCAGAAAATAAAGCCTTGAAATGCAGTTCATGTACGCCAAGTTCTGCTCCTCTTTATGGCTTTACAAATGTACATTCACAATATCGGTGCCTTTTCTTTTGGGACTTGTATGAACAGAAAAACTGTGACATGTTTGGAACTATATTCATCTATATTTTACGGTGCAAATTTATACAAAAGGAATTGTGCTAGATGCACATTTAGATATACCCACACCCTTTGATTCAGAAAGTGTTCATTACAAATAGATTCAAGATAAAGATAAAACTAAATTAAATACAAATGTCCACATGGGGGCACTGTATTGTTAGTGTTACTTCTGAAACTTTCTGCAGAAAAAAGGCAGATACCTCAATGGGCAATCATATTTTTCTTTTTACATTCTCATATTTGCACTTAAGACAAATTATTCTAAAAGGCAGCTATTAAATATCTGTTCTTTTATTACAAAATAATTTTTAAATCCCTTAGATTACAAATTTACCTTAATCATAGGTAAATTAGAATTTTATTCCACAAACATTTAGATTATTTTAAAATTTATTTTCCCTGCCTAAAGGCTTTTCCTTTGGACATTAGCTTATGAATAGGATATTAACAATCGTAGATTTTGTTTGCTACCTGGATTTATTACAGAAATATTCGAATGAAATCCTAACATGAATTATATATTATTTTTTGCTGTCTTACTTATGTGCAATACTTTGGAAGGCAAGCAAGCATTACTTTTTAGGATTGAAACAAATGTTTATTACTCAATCTTTCATCCATTTTACCTGTAATCTATTAAAGACCAAAAAAAAAACCCTTGCCAACTGTTCTTCATATTAAGATGTACCTTAATACAAAGTAATATCTTGATCCATTTTTATATTTTTCTACTCAATCTAGGTTCTTCTGTATTTTTACAAATTGAAAAGGGATGCACACAGAATTATAGTCTCTTAGTTTGATTCTGAACTTCTGCAGTTATAGCACAACTTCAGCTATCAATTTTTTACTATGACCCCTTGGCAGAGCTTTCTTTATGATTGCTTAGAAATATTATGATTGTTTTTTCAACTCATGGAGCTGGTTTTGTGTGAATTTATATAGTGGTACTCATCAAAACTTGGAAAACTTTGTTCTTCCTTTTTTTATTTTTGCAAGGTAACTGTTGATGTTATTGCTTCTTCAGTAAAGTAATCTTTTATAACAGTAAATAAATTTTTAAAAAGCTGTTAAATTTTAATAGTCTCTAAAAATTTATGTCTCTTTTAAATTCAACCATTGACACTCCAAAACTGATTCTGTATCATTACACAGCACTTTAGCAAGCTTTTCGGAAGACTACAGAAGGCTAGAGGAACTTACAAGTATAGCTGTAATTGGTACAAAAACATGCTGGCAAAAATTCCATTAAAAGAATGGGAGTAATCAAATTCAGAATATTAAAAATGTAAATACTGTACTTAACTGGAATACCTCACTTGACTAACATTTCATAAGTTTAAAGACTGTTTCTTTTCCTGGATACTTAATTCAGAACAATCTTATCACAGATTTTGCACTTGCCTTTACAAAAGAAAAAAGGTATGTTTGGTAGTCATGAGATACAGTATCATTTTGACCTTTAATAACTGCACTTTTCAGTGTTGGGAGCCCTTTATTTTGGTACAAGAATATGAGCCATATCCCAGTGGAAAATTCTTATTATACTATTAGAAGCAAAGGACTATAAACGTACCCAGGCAGAGCAAGTAAGTATTACAGCCAGGAGCCCAGCAGAAATAGAAATAGAACAGTGCAACTAGTATTAATTAGACACGCAGTTTTAGAACAAGGGTTGTCCAAAATACAGGTATGTGTCAATTATTAAGAGCTCCCCAGAGTTCTAGAAAATCATTACTGGAGAGCATGTTGCATTGCCTGTTTCCACATTGTGCTTCTTTCCTCATACAGCTTTTGTCACAGGACTCTCCAAAACAAAGATGCTGTTAGAGTTGATAATAAAATCTGTGAGCTTTAAAATTTATCGCCTTCCTTATTTCTTCTTTCCTCTCTTAAATTCTTTTAAACCCTGATGAAGTAATAGTCTCACTGTAATTTTTCATGTCACCTAGAGTGACCTGTGTCCTTTCAGTTTCACTCCACTTCTCAGTGAAGCTGCTAGTGAAATCCAAATGTAATGAAAATGAATGACAGTGTCTTTACTGTCCATCTGCTTATCTATTGTACAACTGTATTAAAAAAAGAAGCAAAAGCACCTTAGTTCTATTCTTAGTTCATATTTTTGTCTTCAAAAGCCAGTACAGACTGTTTTCCAGCATACACACAATAATGAATTGTGCTGAAAATAATGTGTGTGCTGTGAATCAATACCAGATTCTTATAGCATTAAAATTGCCATTAGAAGCAGCTACATACTTTGGGTTTTATTAAGTAGAGTTTAGGAATAATTCAAATTCTTTTTTGATCATCATGCTGGTTTTGTACCTTAGCACAGTTATAATCAGAAGCATCAGAAATCTATGTTCATTTAATAATACGTCTTCCATACACCTTTACTATGCAGTTTTCCTAGATTTTCAGTAAAATGCTTGTACGTTGGCACAAGTCATTTATTCTGACAAAGAAACAAAAATTCTTAACTGAGTATCCCACCTAGCTATGATTTGTGGCTGACATTGCGCAGTAAGGTACACAAAAATGCAAACAAAAATCTAGGATGAGATAAAGTGTTTCCAGATGGCATGGGAATCAACAAGAGACAGCTCTATTTATCTTATTCTCACTTCACCTGTAGCAATGACTAGATCTACAGCCTTCTCAATCCACTTACTGTGTCTTTCTGTTGGAGAGGGGATGAGAGAGAGGAAGAAAGAAATATCACAATTCAAAGTCCAATTTTTCCTGAGATGTTTTGACTGAAAAATGAGCATCGAATAGCAAACAACAATCCTCTATACTGAATCCAAGGAAAGAAATATCAGAAAGAAAAAGATAGAAAGGAGGAGTTCTTTTTTAGAAGCTATGGGAAAACCCTGGAAGTTCAGTCTTTTTATAAACAGGCACTAGTTTCTGTTGCATTTTTGTCATGTCCATTTATATTATGCATACCTTAAACAAACTCTTACTGAAACATTATCTTTGAGCAGCTTGATCTAATCAGAAATATTACATTACTCTTACCTTCTGTATTCCTTTGTAAGCCTCCATCATTTAGAAATATATCTGATTCACCCAGCTAATCTAGAGAACCTCACTACAGCTGTAACAAGCTATCTTTTCTCCTCTTAAAGGTACACGGCACTGTTGGAGAGCCCTGGTGGATTTGGGTGGAAGACCCTACTAATGATCACATTTACCATTCAGAGTACTTCATCGTTCAAAAAAAACAGGTAATGAACTTTATTCAGATTCTCATAGCAAGACAAAAATAAAGTTAGTGAGCTACATATCTGTAAGGCCAAACTGTATTTTGACCTAAGCAGATTTTCAAATGAGTAGCAAAGCTTTCAATTTCATACGTGCATGACGAGCTTGGAGTTCCACAAAGACGTTTTCTAATCTCAGATTTCCCCTCTTTGTCCTCTGATGGGACAGTTATTTCCAGGTGAAGAAAAGGAAGACTGTAATATTTTTTTCTGTTAAAGAAAAAGATGAAGAACCAACCTTATTTTTATCTTTTGAAGTCCATGGAAACAAAATACATTCTTAGTTGTGAAATCTGTTATAAAGGTGTGAATATTTTGCATGGAGTTGCACAAATACTTTATTGCTTTGTGTTGGTAATGCTTATGGAAGTGATGTAAACCACGATTTTTCAAGTTAATGATTTGTCCATGCAATAATTATTCTCTACACATTTGCATTAGGTCATTACTAAAGAACCTCAACTGCTGGTGTTCACAATCCCGATTTTTGAACCTCTACCATCTCAATATTACATTCGAGCTGTGTCTGATAGATGGTTAGGAGCAGAGGCTGTATGCATTATAAATTTTCAACATTTGATTCTTCCAGAGAGACATCCTCCACACACGGGTAATTTCAAATTTGATCTTTTTGTTTTAATTCATTTTGCTCATACTGATTTTCCTTATATAGTGCAATAAATCTGTTTGACTTCTGTTTCATCATAGAAAAGTATATGAAATCTCACTTTGTGATACATTTGTATTATTGTAACCATTTCTTCACTACACTGAAAGTGCTCTAAAATTTTAAATTCCCAAACAAATAGCTGCTTATTTCATCTCAACATAATACCAGTCTTTTAATTTCTCCAAGTTCTCTATAAAACTTAGGAAATTTGAAACTGTCATATACAATTTAGCAAATCTCTGTTATAGTATGTCTTATCTTAGTGCTTGTAAGTATTACATTTCTTCTGGACTGGCTAAAAATAATCTTGGAGCAGATCATTGGGTTAAAAACTGCATTCAGAAAAGAAAAAACAGTTAAAATTTTGAAAATTTGAGACCTTTCACTATTTTACTAAAATTAATTCATCATAGCAAGCACTGTTACAGTACTGAACATCACATTTCAATTCAGCACTGCTGATCAAGTCATGGCCTTCCCCTCCTCCTCCTTTTTTAACACTTGGCACAGAAGCATATGTTTGTGTTTTTCTTCTTTTTTTTCTGGATACATAAATTGCCTTATACATTCATTGTGCCTGATGTCATTGTAAAACCTTTCCACTGTAATTACATTTGGCTCATCTAGCAGTCTGTGAAGTGAGTGCCTTCAGAAATATTCAGTTCTTATACGGTGTTGTCCTTTGGCATGCATAAATTCACATGTGTTTGTGAAGTGTTTAGCTATTGTTATACTGTACCTACGCTGTCTGAAAAAGCATGTGTAACCTTTTTATCTAATTGACTGATCACTGACTACTATTCAGAAGAAACAGAAAGATATTTACACATCACCAGTTATGGAGCCTCCAGGATTTATGGTAATTGATTTCAATTCCCATCTGGTTCCCACTCAACAATGAAGTACATAGAGGCCCTGCTAGGCAAAAAACCTTCTTTCTCCTCGTCAGAGCCCAAGAAATCACAGTTTCAGTGGGAATGATTAAACAGCCATAAGGTATCAGTGAAAAGCATGTGAAGAATATTAGGCATCATTGCCTCAGTAGATTTTATGACTCCCATATCATACCTTAATGTGAAGCACCCTGAAAAGACAATGAGACCTCCAGCCACAAAAGAAAAAAAAAAAAAAAAAAAGAAATCCAAACTTCAAAGCAAGCATCTGCATAGCAGAATCACTGCAGTTTCCTTAATTTGGTAGGATTCCAAATCCAATCTGGTTATATATATCATCTTCCAAATTCCACAATCTCTAATTGTTTGGATAGCAGATGCCCTCAAGATATATGAAGAATTATATCTTGAAAAGTTGTTAGTTTATTTACTAAGTTTGTGTATTTAATTACATGTTTAAAGGATTAGATGCAAGATTTAGTTGTACTCATCTGATTTGTATTACTCCATCAACTTAGAAACCCCAAAGGATCCTTCCTTCTTAAGTAGATTTATTTCCTTGAAACTGAAATATATACACTATGATGGCCTTCAACTCCACGTTCTGTTATCATAAGAAGCTGGACATACATATAATCTAATACAATGAGTTTAGAACTTACTACAACTGGGTAAAAAGGAAACAGCTTTAAAGAAAGTATTAATTTATGCAAATGGCTGCTTCATAGCTATCAGAATACTAACAGTACTTGCAGAAATACCTCAGAGTTACAAAATTAACTTTTCGTTATTCCTTATCAAAGTTAACAATGGCCCAAATGCAGACTTGGTGTCATATGAGATATTAAGCAAAACAATTTCCATGTAACTTGTTTTCCACTAAATTATTGTTTAGTATCTGTATCTTCATAATAAACTGTGTTATGTTATGGCATCTGTTGTCATACACTTATGATTATTTTGTGGTTTTAGAGCTTCTAGATCTTCAGCCTTTGCCTATCACAGCCTTGGGACATCGGGAATATGAAGCCCTGTACAAATTCACACACTTCAACCCTATTCAGACCCAGATATTTCATACACTTTATCACACAGACTGTAATGTTCTTCTTGGAGCTCCGACAGGTTCTGGGAAGACTGTTGCAGCTGAATTAGCCATCTTCAGAGTTTTTAACAAGTATCCCACATCAAAGGTTTGTAAAATAGATTTACTAGAATTATTTTGTGTAGACATGTTTTTAGCAATAAAAAAGCCTAGAAAAAGACTATGGCAATCTGATGGGGTTTTTTTCTCCAATTTAGACCTGTCTGAATATGAAATGGCACTGCATTATATATATTATGCTTTTATTTCAACTTTATATCTTAATCAGTGTACAACTAAAGTGACATACAGGAATTCTGGATTTCCCTTTCTATACTTACTGTCATTTCCTGCTTTAATCTCCGTCTACTAGCAGTAGTATTGGTTTATAGCTATTAGTTCCTCTCCATGTGAATCCAACTAGCCCAGTCTTTCTCTTATTTAAACAAATAAGTTGCAATTAATTACTGCAAACCAATTTTCTGTTCCAACTTGCCCCTGTGTTTTATTTCTTAAGTTGTCTAAAAGCTGAACAATTCAGCTTTTGGGGTTTTGATTTCGAAGTGAATATATATCTGTATCTTGACTTAGCCATTTTGGCCTAGTTAACTACATTTTAGCTTTAAAGTCTTTGGAAAATATATTTATATCTGACTGTGATATTTAACCAAAGAATAGCTTTTGAAATTAAAAGAAATCATGTACATAAATCCTTATTCACCTTTGAAATTTCAGTATCTTCATGTAATTTGTGAGTCCAGGTGAGGTAAGGAAGACACTCATACATTTTCAGCTAATCTGTTAGACTTACAAAATAGCCAGTTCGCAAAGGACTGTATCTTTTAGATTTTAATAAAGGCGAAAACCTGACTGTATGTTTTTAAAAAATGTGTGTGAATTCTTCATGTAGCAGTTTCTTCATCTTCAAAAGCTTCAGAATATTTAACTGGAATATTCTCATTAATTCTGAATATTTAACTTGGAATGTAAATAAATCTTTCTACATGTCAGAGTATTCCGCCCCTGCGCAGCAAACTTCTTTGAGGAAAGTATTGTGACACTTTGCTTAAAATAATCTACTTTTTAATTTAATTGGTAATGTTTTAGTAATTTAATGACATAACTAGAAACCAGGTAAGATATGGCTTGCTGGAAATTCTGATTATTTCTGTTCTAGAATGTTAGCTTGCAGATTTTTTAGTCGTGTCAAAAATTGCATTATTTATATAAGCAGGTTGTGATATTAAATGCTGTGATAAATACTTCCATTTTGAGAAACTATTCTTTCTCTTTCTTATTTGTTTGTTAATAGCACAGGAAACAAAGCATTATTTTCAAGTATTAAGCCTGTTGTAAACAGAATCCTATTGTAGGTCATTTAAGGAACTCAAACCTTTATCATTTTAATGAGTATGAGAATGAGTATGTTCAAATCTCACAAGTATTAAATATTTTTCCTTGTGGGTACTTTATTGTTTAACTTCTGGTTTTGTGATTTCTTTTGCAGGCAGTGTATATTGCACCCTTAAAAGCACTCGTTCGTGAAAGAATTGAGGACTGGAAAGTTAGGATTGAAGAAAAACTTGGTAAAAAGTATGTTTCTCCTTGCCCAATCAGAGAAATGAGAAGCAAAAGAATAGCCCATCAAGTATAAATAATCTACAGAATATAAATAAATCTACAGAATACTCTTGAATATTTCAGAATAGGTTCTGGTTGTATACTATCCTTCAAATTTCTAGTACTTTAAAAATATGCTAATGCTATCAGTAGTCACTGTAGTGATAGCAAAATCAAAACTTAAAAATGGATATGCTTTAATACCCAGCTATTTTTATTCTCATTACTTGCACATATAACAAATATGAAGATCAGATTTCTCTTTCCAGTATCCTTGGAAATTGAAATTGCAATCCAAAATAAGCTTTTTTTTTTTTTTTTTAGAAAAAACAGCTAAAAGGAACTCAAAGGACTTGCATGAACTAATATTCCTATATGTTTCTTCATATATAAATTAAGATAGAGTTTTATTCCTTCGTAACATCAATTTCTTGCTGATCTCAAGTATTGGAAGTCAGCCATTACTTTATGACATATACGGTATATCAGTCATGTTGGTGATTTCCAAAATTAGACTTTCTTGAGTTAAAAATTATATCCATAAGATGCATTATTTAGGGACTTTTCCTTTCCTATATATAGCTTTTTGCCAAGCTAAAGCTCAAAGCACACCTCAGGTTTCACTAGAAGTGCTACTCTGTATACATGAAATTACCAGTGAGATTCCTGCCATTATTATATCAGTGAACTATTAATTTGTGATCTTTTTTTCTATTTTAGTGGCCTGTGAGGATAAATTATTTGCCTCATGATTTTAAAATCTTTTCAGATAATATTTTCTTTTTGAAATTTATTACTTGTGACTCAAAATTTGAAGAGAAGATATACATTACTTTGAGGAATTTTTGTTAAATGTTTAACTGGATGTAGAATGCATCATAGAAATGTCAAAAATCCATTGCATTCTGTCTAAAATGATGGATCATCTTAAATGCTGTCAGTAGAAATTGAAAGCTTAATAAGGCAAACAGCTGGAAAAAGTCTGCTAATCTTCCCCCAAAAATCACCTTAGGATAATTCCTACTCCAGTTTTAATGGAACTTCACCAATAAATGCAGATACACTGCTTTCTAGCATTCTAGCCTCATTATTCAAACCAGAGATCTATGCAGACAGCAGGTATCTTTATAGTAAGGTTTCATCCTAGCTAGGATGGCAGGATGTTATGATTCCAATTATTATCATCCTAATATTCTTATATTATCTTGATTTTGAAAAATTAACCATAGGAAGTTTGGGAATCATATTCGCCCTTTTCTATTTGGTACTTGTATAGTATTCTAGGAGTATTTGACCAGAAACAAAATTACTTTGTTTAATGTTATTTCTTCTCTCTTTCAAGAGTTTTTGTTTAGGAGTTAATATTTGAACGTTAAGATATTCTAAAGCTTTGTAAAGCAGGCCACCATCTTTCTTGATTACAGGGTTGTAGAGTTGACAGGAGATGTGACTCCTGATATGAGAGCTATCGCCCAAGCTGACCTGATTGTTACTACCCCAGAAAAGTGGGATGGTGTTAGCAGAAGCTGGCAGAACAGAAGCTATGTTCAGAAAGTTTCCATTCTTATCATAGATGAGATCCATCTGTTAGGTGAGCATGTTTTCTTGGTTTTAATGAGAATTGTTTCTAAATTTGAAGACATGTGCTGGTACTTATGACATGAATATACATTTTGACTTATGAACCTTTTCTTTTTCTCCATTTTTCAATGGGCTTTTCGTTTACTAGGGGATGAGAGAGGACCAGTATTGGAAGTCATTGTGTCTCGAACAAACTTCATCTCATCTCACACAGAGAAGCCTGTAAGAGTAGTTGGTTTATCCACTGCTTTAGCAAATGCCAGAGACCTTGCTGACTGGCTAAATATTAATCAGGTATGAAAAATGTTTCAGGGGATGGATATGTGTTTGCACTGCAGAAAAACAAAATAGCAATTTATAAGATAGTTCAAGGTTAAACTTGGAAAAAAATGTTTTCTTGTAGATGGGTCTGTTCAACTTCCGGCCGTCAGTACGCCCAGTTCCTCTAGAGGTGCATATTCAGGGCTTCCCTGGGCAGCATTACTGTCCTCGCATGGCTAGTATGAACAAACCTGCATTTCAGGGTAAGCAACAAGCTCCTAGACCTTTTCTTCTTTCTGTAAAAGAAAAAAAGACTGAGCACTTTACACAGTTCATTTGCAGCATATTTACAACATGTGTGTATGTACTCTTGGCATGTATAGGGGGAATCTGCTCTGCTAATGGCCCAAAGCTGTTTGTCTGAAACATAAAGTGTGCTACAAATGCAACATAGAATGGAGGAATGTAATGTATTTAGAACAGAAGAATAAAATTAGTGCTAGTGAGGGGGGATAGAAAATGTGTTTTCTCTTAGTGTTCGACACCATAAAGAAACATTTGTGTAAAAATATTTGAAATTTAGAAAGTAATAAAACCATTCATATTATTAATCTGCTGAGGTATTTTCATATGGACCACTGTATGTAAGCATTAAAAAAATTGTGAACAGAAGCTGCAAGTCAGGCTAACCTCCTCCTACAATTCTAGTTTCAAAGCAATAACCATAAAATTCAAAATTTGTAGTGCATCCAGATATGCTTCTGTTTCCAATTTTTTATTCTTAACAAAGCTGGCAAGCAGGGTAGATTTAAGAAAAGCTCTCATATTTTATTTGAACATGTTTTGCTTTGGTTACATAAGGAATATTTATTATATCAATTAAAAATAACCTCCAAAATAAATTTTGTAATGTGAACTGCTGTTGATTGTGAGGTGACATTTGTGGGGTGACTTTTTAGCTGCTTTAATTAGCCTTATGACAGAAGCAAAGTATTGATTGTGGACTAGAGACCAATCTTGACAGCCCAGATTATTTACACCTCCACAAGAGCGTTGTACAAAAACACTAATGAACAATAAATCTGTCTTGGGCTGTTCTACAACACCTGTTCCTGAAGCAACAAAAATCCATTAGATGGTGGGCTTTTAAAATATATAGATATATTGGCATATATAGTTGTAAGGTATAAATACACTTAAATTATTCTGTTTCAATAATTTCACAACTGTATAGTATGTGTATATGCAAGAGCACATGCTGGGTAGTATTCATGAACTACCCAGCATGGGTAGTTCACAATACCCAGGGAACAATATGTGATAGTGGATACTATGAAATAGTTTTCAGAAATAAACAATGCAAAAATTTAATTGCTAGAATGAGAATTGCATAAGAAAACACACAGTTGGATTTATAAGAGATTCTGAGAGTATTTGAAACTCTTGTTTATATTTCGAGTGCTTGTAGATGTTAAAAAATCTGTAGATGTATGATTTATTGAGGACTTTTTTCACCACTTGTTTGACGTGAAATAGTCAGGGTTATTTTAACATTTCATGGCAGTGCTTATTCCTGAGGCCATAAAAATTTCACTGCAACCTGAAACTTTTTAACCATGTGGTGAGCAAGAAAAAGGACTGAGCTTTTTTTAAAAAGTCCTGAAACATAATTGGTTTAAATATATCTGACTAATTAGAAAACAAGAGAAACAAAGTTCTTTTCTACCATAGTGCCCACGTTCACAGTATTTCTTGAAAAGTCACTTTCTACCTTTTTTACCTTTTCTGATTTTGGTAGATTGAAGTGATCTTTTGCAGGCAGACATGAGTTTATGCAGTCTGGACTCTGGGTCCGCCAGAAAGCAAGTTTTGGACCTTGATGGCAGTTAGCTTAACCTAACGTATCCCAACAGGTAGAGAAAGCAGAACATACTTATGCTAAGATAGAGAAAGAAATTCACAAGCTTTGAAGTCTAGAAAGCTTGCGCAGGTTTTGTGGTGGTTTGGTGTTTTTTTTTTCCCCAACTGGTTCTGTTACTGAAATCGCCAGAAAACTAACTCAGACTCCACCAAGCATATATTGATTTGATTCAGCAATGGTATATGCTCACTTCAGTCTTGTCCATCTGGTAGAATAGAGAAGTACACATATCTGTGTATCATCTGCACAGAGGCATATCAGCTGTCTAGGCAAAGAGAAACTCTGATTTTTGTCATTAAAGGGCCTAATTCTCAAGTTCTGCTTTCCTCAACAGCGATTCGGAGTCATTCTCCAGCCAAGCCTGTTCTTATTTTTGTATCATCCAGACGTCAGACAAGGCTTACTGCTTTAGATCTGATAGCTTTCCTAGCCACTGAGGATGATCCCAAACAGTGGCTGAAGATGGATGAAAGAGAGGTACAATCATTTTACCTGCATTATTTGTGGTTTGTTTCTATTTTGTTGCTATTTGTTTGAAAAGAAAATACATCTAAGACAAAAGAGTCATGTGAGCATAGATCTTGAAACAGCTATGATTAAGCTAAATTTCAATATGTATTAAGACTAGCATCAGCATTAAGGCCATATAAACATCTTTGCAAAGGCTGAACTTAGAACACAAACTCTTTTATCTTTGTTTTTCCTGCATATCTATTATTAATGCTAGTTCCCTTGTCCCAGACAACATATATCACATGGTAAAAGTCTTTGATACAAAGATAAGACAAAGAATAAAAGAAAGAGGACTAGTGTTCTCCAAAGTTTACAGCTGGAAATGCGTGACATAGAGAGGTTGAGCTTGAATTTAAACCAAATCTCTTTCAGTGTTTTAGGAACAAAATCATCCTTCTCATAAGATAACTGTATGTCTAGAAGGTCATGTATATGCATATATATCTGTGTGTATATATGTACATATGTATATAATGCTTCTGTCCATCTATATTCATACATATATATATGGAAATATATATTGCAGAACCAACTGTTTAGGAATGGTTCAGCTTTGCATATCAACGAAATAAATCAATGTTAAAAAAAAAAGCTTCTGCTTATGTATTTGTTTTAAGAACATAAAAATTACTGTCAAATATTCAGATGTTAAGCAATACTGGAGTAAATGTTTAATTTTTTTATTCTTTCTCAGGCAATACAATCTTTAATTACATTTTCTTGTACTGTTTCTCAAAAAAAATCCTTTCAGTTATTGCAAAATATGAATGATGGTCAAATAAGAAATAACCATTTAATATTCTGTTTCGTCTTCATTCTTCAAAATGTATATCTGATTTTATTTACTGCACTTGGTTCAGCACCTGCTCTGAATAATGAATTATTTATTTCCTTCTCAACTAATGGTCCTGATTATAGTATATTTCTGCTTCAAAACAGTTTCTTTGGTTGATACTCAGATTTCCCAGGTTTTGGAAGTTAGATTTTTTAATGGTTGCAGACCCTTTTCATAGGAATTTCTGTGATAATACTGGGCCAAAAGACCTCAAAATGCAGGATTCATAAATACAAGATCCAGAATTAATATTGTATGAACATTAATATATCAGCAGTTGTGTACCAAAAATTGTATGCCAAAAAGTATAGTTTTCTAAATTAGGTTATTAGGTTTTGTTTGTTCTTTACAAAAAAATAAAGTGTGATTATCTTTTTTTTTCAGACATAAAGCATAACATCTGTATCCTTCCTCTTTTGGATGGATTATAAAAAAGAAAATGGATGTCTTGGCTGCTAAACTGCTACTACTAAAGCATGTCTCAATTTGAATCTGATTTTCTAACATTATAACCTCTGTTTAATGCTTTCTTGAGCATAACAGGAACATTTCATATCAAAATGATTACTGCTTAGTAGAGTACTCTAGTACCTTATGCTAGGTTACTGTAGTGATCTCACCTACAATTAGAATATGTGACATGCAGCTTCCCCTAAATGACTTGCATTAATATGAGTAGCTTCCTTATGTCCTGTAAGCCACTAGCATCCTCAAAAGAACTGTAACTGAAGCTTCTTTGCTTGCTGGAAAAGGGTTTTCTATTAGGAGTCTTTGAATTTCATATTTTTCAGAATAAAACTGAAGGATTTGAAAGAGGAGCCAACAAGGACAAGCAGACTTTGCATTTATTAGTTTCATAACATTTGCATATTATTTGTATCTGAATTAATAAGCTGAATATTTGGAGCACAAGACACCTACCAAGTTACTCAGTTCTGATTACGTAAAAGACTGAGGATTAATTCCTAAGTTGTTATATCTTACCACTATTATGCAGAACACAATTCCGTTTGAAGCATTTCAAGTGGATATTTCTTTAGGTAATTATGGGAGCAGTTTGTAGTTTTGTGTTTTAAATGAGTGTGATTAGCCTGAGTTTCATTTGACATTGAAGCAAAGAACAAAGCTCAGTAGTGCTACATACCCAGCATATGTACTGCTTAATTCTTTATCCATAATTGGTGGGTTGGTTTGGTTTTTCGGTTGGGTTTTTTTTAATTCTAACTTCAAGTTATAGTAAAGTCAGGCTTGGACTAGGTGAAATAGACAAAATTCCTCCATACAGCTATGGCATTTTTGAGTATTAAAAGTAGAGCTAGTGAATATTTACTTTATAGGAGGTATTCCCCACTTTTTGGGAGGTATTGCCTGTCTTGAGTACTTGCCCAAATATTTCGTGTTTCTCAATTCCATATGGAATAAAAATATTTAGAATAATTTTTTCTTGCCTTTAAGCAACAGTTTCTGTTGCCTGTCAGTTTTGTGCCTTTGTTTTTTGTCAACCCATGTTCCTTTAGGGGAACACTACAGATAGATTATTTCATTCTCAAAATGTTTGCAATTGTTAATTATGAAGTATGTTGAGATACAGGAGATTTTCCATAGGCGGGTGTATACAAAGTTTACAAGCTTTACAACAGGCCTTGGAATTTCTCTTCATTCAACCTTGTTGTATAATATTAATTTTGGCTGACGTAAGAGTCCTTTAAGAACTCATTGGTTAGTTTTCTTTAATGGTGTACTTGATTTTGCTACATGACAGTCTATGTTTAAGTTAGCTTCCCAGTGGGTATACTGCATAATATATACATACTGCAACTTCTTAAAATGCTGTAAACAATGCCATTCATAATAACATCTAGAAGACTGATAATTGAGGTAGACACAGATTCTTAACAGCCATGAAAGGTAATTTTACTCTTACCCTGCATGGCAGCTTTTCTTTGATGGTAACAGAGTGACTCAGGCTCTGAGGGGGAGAGATAGAAGTGGGGGAGAGCCCAGTACTGGATCTTTGCTACCTGTTTATCAGCTATGCTATCATCTTAGCTTCCCTCATCTTCTCTGTAGAGATGCTCCCTATAGTGATAGTGCCAAACAAGACTCTCATTTGCAGCATGTGAAGGGTGCACTCTCTTTTCAGCAACTCCAGACTGTTTCACTTCACAGTAGCAGGCAAATCCACCCCCATCTCTGACACCGAGCTTCAAGTATCAAACTTAGACAATATTTCTATCAGTTATATTGCAAAGGACATGAGCTTGTATGAAGCTTCTAGAGTACAGATTTGTATGAATAAATGATGTACAGAAACAAACCTTCAACTGCTGCCACCAAAGTAGACAACAGCATATCAGGATCATGGAGGAACTGTACAAGACATTCTTTCCATCAAAAAGCAGCCAGCAGTCTAACAGGTGCAGCTGAATTATAGTCGAGAAGGAATTTTTTCTACATCCATCTACTTTTCAGTAGATGTTACAGGCAGCTCTATTCAGTTTTGGAGACGGTTCTTCCTGAATGTTTTCCTTGAATTTCATGTCTGATGTAAGTTTCCTGTTCATACCCATGTTCCTGCATTCAGAAAGTTGAAAGTTATTCGGAAAGTTGAGACAGCTGTTAGTCTTCGTAAGACTGAACTGTTGATGAAAATTGATCTTTCTAGTACAAGTAAGTTTTCCAGTTCTACTAGATACGTTGTTACACAACAATAGTTAGATCTGTTTAATAGATTCTAACAAAGTTTCAGGCTATGTGCATGCTTTTTGTTAAGAAATTCTGTCCACTCAGATACCTTATGTCTAGTTTAGTCTGAGCAAGAAAGCCTCCAGTGATGTTGAAATACCCTACTTAGTGAGATTTGTAGCTGATTCTTCAAAGCTCATCCCCACATTTGCCAACTGCTGTGCATCACAGCACATGCAGACATTCTTCAGGATTTAAGCAGGACTGCCACAGTTTGCCAAAAAAAATACCCTAGGCCTTACAGGTGTTTTCTTTTTTTTCTTTTTCTATAATGTGTGTTGTCCATATACCTTCCAAAATTAGCTCTCTATCCCTCTTAGGATTTGCAGTGCCAACACAGAGTTTATTTTTTGCCAAAGAGTGAAGAAGCAGCTGAAGCTGCCCTCCTTGCCATTTGCACTTGTTGCAAGACCTCTTCAGTTGACATCACTTGTAAAGATCATCCTCGCTACAAAGCACAGGTGCATCATGACAGAACTGTGAATAGGCATTACATCTGAAAGAGTGCACCTATAGATTGAGTAATTCTTAATTTCTTTTTGTTGTTCATTGATGCCCATGTGCCAATGAAAAAGCAAATTTTATGCTCACCCTGCTTGTTTGTACAGTAATGAGATGATTTTTAAATATACGCATTCCGGCCAAAATTCTAACTTGGAGCTGTCAGCCAGGACTGTCACATTGAAACTTGTGACCCATTACTTGTTAAAAGGGACAACAGCTCAGATTATCCTTTTGGAAACAGACAGTGCCACCAGTCTGTAATGGTAAGCTTGGATAAGATCAGTCAGGCTGTTCTACATTAGAAGCTGACTGAAGAGTAACAAGTTCTCCTCTTTCAAAAATTGCATCTACATCTGTAGTGGCAGCAGATGTTGCAATCTTTTTACAACATAATTAATTAGAATCGAGTTTTCAGTTTATTTGTTTTTCTCTAATGTTTTTTTTAACCTAAAACAAAAGTACAAAGTAGTATTTATTGTTTATTGTTTGAAGTTAGAATGCCATTCTCACCAGCAAATAAGCAGGGTGTTTTCTTATTTGGGGTTGGGTTTTTTAAGAAATTTATTTCCTGGCCAGATATGTGGATTTTTTTTTTTTTTTTTTTTTTTTTTTTTATATTTACGGTGCAAAGATGGAGAAGAAATGTATCCATGTACACAGTTTTAACTTTAACCACAATGATTTTTGCATTCTGCTTTGTGCATTATTTTACCATCTGCATCTTGTTAAAACTGTTCTTTAGGAAACCTCTAGAAATAACTAAAATCCTTCAGTGCAAACATACCTACTGTAATATTCAATAGCATCCATACCAAGCAATAGCCAGCATCCACTGAGTTCAAGGGCACTTGAATGAAAGGCACTCATTGACTCCAAAAAAATTAATCATCAGGCCAGTACTGATTTTAAGATTTTAGAGATGTGATTACATAAACATGTGTGCGCTAATTATGGATTTGTGTATGTGTTCATATGCTATGTGGAAATATGCAAAGACATATGTATGAAAGTCAATTAAATTTTACCATATAGTTCTGGTTTGCATTGCTAAAAAAAAAATTTAAAAAACAGCACCCAAAAAACTCCTAAGACTTGCTGGAAAGGCAAAGGATTATTTTTCCTGCTCTAACCTTTAAATAAAATAACCTTTTATCTCCATGTTAATATTCTGAGGTAATGCTGTGCTATAAAACAGGAATAGAAGAATCTGGTCTGTGTCATGAATAGGTATATTGCTGTCTTTTAGATAAGATTTTTACAATGTATATGTTTTAATAATATATATCAACTGTTTAAACAATAAGACATTTCATGAATAATCTTATTTGAGGTGGTTTAGGCATCTTTTTTGGGGGGGAGAGTTCTGGAGTATAAGTCAACTCTTCATCAAAAATGAAGGGGGGGGGGGGTGGGGGTCTGCCTTTAATAGTCGGGAGGATACCCAAGAATGATTTCTAAGTGTTTCACTCATTATAGAAGTTCAACTTCCTTCTACAAGATGTTGGTTTTACAACACAAAAGTGTGTCATAAAAAAATTAACATTTAGTTATAACAAGGAGTTGTTTTTATTTCATTTAACATCTGTACCAGATGTGAAATATATAATTATTTTTGTAAAAGACTTCATAATTTTCATGATTCTTTTGTTTGGCACATCTTTCTTCTATTGGGCATTTTAGTCAATTGATAAGCATTATTCAGTGGCATATGGTCTGAGTCTGACGTGCTTTGAAAAGAGTAGAGAGTACTAATAATGAGGATTCTGTGAAAATGGGAAAACCAGCACAACAGATATGCTTTGAGAAAGTATGGGGTTTTAGCATCTTGAAACAATATATCACACTCAAAGGGACAGAATTGGGCTGCACAATCTGTTAGCTCATTCTTGTCCAATCTGGTCTCCTCCTTTCTTTTGGAGCCAGCATTGTCATCAACTTGCTGAATTATATTCTGGCTGGAATGTATTTCAGGCACAGGGTAATGTATCTACTTAAATGGAATCCTATCTTTCTACAAAAGCTTTTTAAGTATAATAAATTTAAAATATAAAAAAGTTCTATTAGCTTAAAGTAAAAGGTTCAACAGTTTACATATGTGCAGGAACAAAGAAAATGACTACTTACTGGTTTGAGAAAAATCTAGCTTGTTCAAAGATCAGAATAGAAAAGCTAGAAATAAACTTTATTTTTTATGGTATTTTGCACTGCTACTAGAGTCCCAAATTGGTCTTAAAAAGTGGTTTATTAAAAGGTGAATTCCTAATCAACCTGCTGTTAGGAAAGTGCAAGAGATATTTTGTGTGTTCCTCAAAAAAATCTGTGAAGGATAGATAGCAAAACTTTTTCTGCATGGGGCCAATCCTGCCTGCCTTAGAGTGCAGGAAAAAATCCTTCCTTACATTAAGCTTCCTGCTTCAGTGTTTTATGGGTCTTTTATGTCAGTACTGTGTATATTTCCTGATATTATTTTTAATATAACATAATTTCTGGTTTTAAGATGATAAAATATATTTTCTTTACCCTTATGTCTTTCTTTACCCAACATTACAGTTACTTTCAGAAAGATAAATAGCAATGAAGTTATACCAATGCAGAAATGTCAGGTTTGTTTTATAGCCACAATGTGTGTCTGTTTCTGGCTAATGAACCTATTAATTGTGCCATTATTTCTTAATAGAAAGTGATAATATTCTTACACTACACTGACATAAGAGAGTTATATTTTTAAATAAATTGTCGTGATAATTTTAAGCCTTGGGTTGTGCCTATGGGTAAAATAGTTATGTTTATTACATTGATTTATGTGAAAGTAAGGGGTCAGCTAAAAATGACTAGGATTCCCTGCTGCTAAAATGACAGGATAGAAGTACATGCGCCAGCTCTCCTGCTAAGGGTTCTTTAGTTTTCTTGTGGTAAATTACACTGCTTTGCAGGTGTGACTAACAGCACCACAGGCCACCGCTGTAATACAAGTCAGAGGGGAAAAAAAAAAGTAACCACCACTGATTGTAAAAGCAAGAAGAACATCTTGGAATAAATTCCCAGTAGTGTGAATTTAGGATGTTTTCTGCTGGCAAGTCCATGGCAAAAAGATTTAGCTCTGTACTGAAAATAACTAACTGTACTGAAAATAACTGACGCTAAAATTGCATGTGCTGAAGGAGCAATCTAATTGCTATAGACTAATCCAGATCAGCTGATTTGATCCCTGTACTCTTCTAGTGGAAAACGGAGTTTAGATTCATTATTTTCCCAATATCAAATTCCACTTACGTAATAATGAAATAAATGTCATTGGAACTGGTTTGCTCCCTTACACTAGAGACATAACTATCATAAAGTGAGGATTCTTGGTGGGGAGGAGAAAACATAATTCAGCAATATCATATCTCTTGTAATTTTTTTGAATGCAGAAATTGAGTAAAATGTAAATGCATTTTTTCATTTATTTTTCTGATATTTATCACTGCTTTTTTCTACTTTTTCATCTTAATTCCCTGCCAAGTGTATACATAGACTATTATTTCCCAAAGTGCCCATCTAAGGATAAGAAGCCTGTGCTATTTTTCAGTCATAAGAGAAAAAATCTTTAAGATGGGCCATAATTCATATCATCTACACTGCAGTCACGTGTCTACATGTTGACTAGAGAAATCAAAGGTTTTCTGATTGTATCTAGATAGATAAACTTTATCCTTTAACATATCCTGCTTTCATTCAGTTCTTTACTCTCTTCTGCTTATCTACCCCTCTTCTTGTTTTCCTTTCATAGACTTATCCCCTCTTCACGTCTCAATTCCTTGCTTTTTTCTTTCTGCTTTCTTTCCTTTCAGTGCTTTATAGTCCCTTTCACTCTTTTTTTCTGTGAACATCATTTTCAGCTCAGTTTATACAACAAGCCTTCCATGTCTTATAACATAGGAAACTCTCAGGAACGTCCAGGCCACTGCATGGTGAAGGAAGATGAAGTCTAGGAGTTCCCAGCGACAGATCAAATAGATTGGACCTAGCCAAAATTTGAATTTTTTTTTTTTAATTGGGTTCTCTGTTACTTCCATCAGTATCCACACTAGTTCAAAAAAATAGATTTGATTTTTTTTTTACATGTTTTGTAATTTCCTCTTCCTGACAAAACTGATTGATTTACAAAATCTGTATTGTTTGTGGTTTTTTAAGTCTTGGATATGGACTATTATCTGCTCTTTTTTGTACCTTTTAAGGATTTTTTTAGTAATAGTAGTGATGTGTGTTACTTGGGTTTAGATATGTGAATAATTTATTAACATTAAGGTCTGGGAGTTATAAAACCCAGGAGACATTTAGAGAATGTTACAATTTTGAACATCAGAAGTACCACACGCCTCAGAGTCCTAAGTGAACATGAAGATATCACTGTAGTCATGTCATGTATCTGTATCTTTGAGATACTCTGTCTGAAACTGAATATTCAGTCCAAATTCTTCAGTTACCCTGAGTAATTAGCTCTGCACTACTATTTTTTCTCTAGCCATGGCTATACCTCCTAGGTTAATCGTGAATGATGTTGTCCAGAAGAATGCAATATCAACATGCCACTGCTGGTGGCACCAGGAAACCACTTATATGAGATGAGGTTTGAAAGTTCCTGGCTATAATTATATTAAAATCACATAAAATAATGAATGGCCTTAGCAATAAAATATCAGAAGGAAAATTGATGGGTAAAGTCACTAAACATGACAGAAGTTATAAAGCTCTTGCTTGTTATTAAGGACAGGCTTTTCACACAGGTCATCTACAGAACTAAATGAACTTATTATGGAATTTACTACTTGAAAACATAGGCAAGAAATATGGTTGAAATGATAGCAGTTCAGGTGATTCCACTTACTCATTAGTATGAGATTTGAAAAAAATAGTAATAAAAAATAGCTATCTGTCTGGATTTCTAAAAGTTTTAAGTGAAGACACTTACTGTGTTTTGGGTTTCACTACAGGGTTTGAGTCTATAAATTACAAATTCACATGCAAAAAAAAATCAAATTAATTTGCATTTCAGCATGTACCTAGGAAAGTTTTTTGATGAATAATTGCAGAATTATCAAACTGAAGAACTGTGTCCCTCTTTTCACAGGCATTGGAGAGAGACAAATTTATTTTTCATGACTGTATGTTACTGGTTGTGGGGCTTTGCTATGTTTTTATACCAGTTCTAACCCCTTTGATACTAGGGATTGCATTAAACAAACACAGAACAGAATGTACAGCAGTTGCCAGACCTGTCAAGATATTTTCAGCATTTTCATTTCCTTATCTGTGCTACTTACTGTGTCAATAAAGTTATGTGAATTTTGTATTCTTCCCATCTTTAATATAGTATTTGATTGATTTTTTTAGACTAAACTGAGACTGTTCAGAGACTGAAGATTGTGCTTTCCTGTTTGTTGTAAACAGTGTTAAGCAAATTATTCTTTCTATTAAAAAAAAAAAAAAACAAACAAAAAGACTTAAAAATTTAAAATTTGTGAGTGATCTGTTTTAAAACATGCAACTGTTCTTTCTGTTACAGATGAATGACATTATAGCAACAGTTAGAGATTCAAATCTGAAGCTGACACTTGCCTTTGGAATAGGTATGCACCATGCAGGTCTGCATGAAAGAGACAGGAAAACTGTGGAAGAATTGTTTGTGAACTGCAAAATCCAGGTACATTTGTTCTCTGAATCCTGCCGTAATGAGTTTTACATGGAATTTTAAAAGTTGGCTTTTTGTTACATATACCTCATTAATCTTTCTTTCTGTTTTAGGTTCTTATTGCCACAAGCACATTAGCTTGGGGTGTAAATTTTCCAGCTCATTTAGTAATTGTTAAAGGAACAGAATACTATGATGGAAAAACAAGGCGTTATGTGGATTATCCCATTACAGGTACTCACATAAATAATGGACATGCTCATATGCTGAAATGTATTTCAAGCATATGCAAATGATCTGAATTAATTAGTAACTGATCACTGAAAATACCTAATTTGCGTAGAGACTAGGATTGCTGAAGAAAGGGTTTGTTTGTTTAATGCAAGTTGTAAGAGAACTCTTAAGATTTTATGTAATAATGAAAATGTTTCCTTAATTCCTTTAATGTGTATCATCCAAAATAGACATTAAACAATTGAGGAGACAATATAAAGTCATATTTAGCTACCTAGTTAATTGTATAAAAATACATTTTCATGCATTTTATTTTTGAAACCTTTTTTAAATATACATGGATTTCTAACAGTAAACTAAGCCGTGGTTTGAAATGAAACAGTTGAATTATGCATGTAGGAGAACATAAAATTTATACAGTCATTTGACAGTAAGCAAAAAAACATAACTAGTCTAGGATCTTCAGTGATTTAAGTGATACTTCAAGTAAGTGATACTTCAGAAATAGCTAAATTAAATATTTGAACATCTAGTTTGATACAGACTTTCTGGTTTCAGTAGACTCTACTTTTCATAAACTGTTCTGCAGTATTTTCAACAAGCTTAAGAAAGTGAACCATGGAAGAACTTTCAGAGTTCAGACAGGGAGGATATTTGTCTGGGTTTTACTATGCTTGGAGAATGAAGACAAACTAAATTTATTCCAGGTTTCCTCTTTCCCTTTCTCTTTTCGCAAGAGAAAGTTTGTTATTCAATAATCCTATGCTGTGATAAAGAGGTGTATACCTGAAGACAATCTAAATGTTACTTGTGGTGTAAATAAAAGGCTTGCATCTTTTTTACCATGCACGCTCTTTTCAGCAAAGAAGCTTACTAAACAAAAAAGCGTCAAACTGAAAATACTCTGAGGGTTACTTCTCCCATCATAGAGCTTAATTTAGTGGTTAGTGCTCTGCAGGAAACTTAGGATCAGTTTCCAGACCAATTCTCTTGTTCAAAGATTCTGGTATGACTTGAGAACTTAGCCCTCCAAACTAGCATTTTGTGACAGACTTTGGCTGATGTAAACTTAGTACAAAGAGTCTCTACAGAGTAGTATCTCATACATCCTGACTGGAAGAATAGTGGCAACTGACTTTATTACTGAGTGGGGAAAAGCGATGAGGAAAGAAATCAACTGAAGTTTTAAATTTTATTTTAAATCTGTGGGACTGTCACAGATCAGTAATAGAGAAAATAATAAAATAAACCAGAAACTCAATAAGCATTTAAAACGTACTGTGCTCTTTTAGAAATCTGTGTGCAAATACTCACAAAGGCTTTAGGGAAAGCTTATGCTTTCACTTTTTATTGCAATTTGAATTCAGGTGACTTGGACATCAGGGATTGTTCAATTCTTGAATTTTCAATAAAGCTCTGGGGGGAGGGGGGGGAGGAATACCACCATCTGTGATGGAAGCATTTAGATTTTGTTGTCTGCATTGCAACAGAAAATGCAGATTCCTTACTTTATGAAGAAACATATGGTGCGGTTTGCTTAAAGCATTTTTATTTTTAACTTTCTAGAGAATATTTATGCATATGGAAGTTCTGTGGATAGGTAGTACAGTTTTGCAGCAGCAATAAAAATGAAAATGTGATTAATTTCTTTCTGAAATACTTCCAAAAATTTCACAACACTGTCTTTAATGCTGCCCACAAGTTATGCCTTCACTGTTCCATCATTGTATAACTTGGTTTCTCCCTGCTGAAGTTACCTTTCTGTATAAAGGATGCGTTTGGCTCCAAGGAAGCAACTGAGGGCAGAATGAATCATTCTGGAGAGTTCAGTACTTTCAAAATAACTAGAAGTGCCTCTTTGAATGAAGTCAGAGGTTTGGGGAAGACCTTTTCTCAGTTACCAGACATTTAGTCAGCCAGTTGGATCATGTTTAAAGTTTCAGGAGTTTAGTCCAGTGATTAAAAGCAGCCAAGCAGCATATAATCAGTAAAGAAAATACTGGGTTTGGATAATTACATAGTGGATATCAGCAAAAATAATTTCCTGATGTTTTTCAGTAACTCCATTTCGTATATGCCATTATCCACAATTTAATTCACAACATTAGAATAGGAAGAAGTTGTTTCATCACTTCCTGTGCACATGCCTATGCAGAAACATCATTTTCAAACTGGTTTGGTTTTACATTTTCATGTCACTCCTAAATTAACAGAAGATATAAACTGATAAAAAAAATTACTATCTATATAGTTCATGTGTACACTAGTGAAAATGTGTTATTAAAAACGGTATATTGTCATTGGGCTGTTTCTCCTATCACGGTCCATTGCTGTATCCCATACTACACCCTCTGGCTTTTCCTTCCCCAGCTGACAATTGTGCTAACAGCTTATTGATTCTGAAATCAAAGAAATCACTTTTCAAAATGTCAGGTACTGCAAACCACATGTTTTGCAGGCATGATAGAGCTCATAGAGAATACTCAAAACTAAAGAGCTTTAAAATAAACATGTAAAACTTACTTATGATTTTCTTTCCATTGTTTCTTCAAAGTTAAATAGTAGTTGGAAGCACCAGAAAGGAATCAGAGCTCTGCAAATGCACTTCTCACATTTGAAAAGACACAAACAGATGATAAGCATACACATCTTGGTGGCCGGGTAACAAGCTGAGCATGTTTTGTTTCAGCTAGTATTTTCAGTATTTATAGAAATCATTAACTAGTGTTTGCAAGTAATAATGTGTAGACAGAGTAGAAGAGGTAAGCCTTAACTGTACCTGCTTTTAAATTTGTGTATCGTGGTGTGATATGAAACCATCTCTACTCCAGTGCTAATAACTAATATCAGTTGTCATGAAGTTTGAATGGGAAAGATCATAGCTGTCAGTAATTAGAATTTGCCTTGACCAGTTTATCTCTAAAATATTCAAAACCTAGGAAATAATACGTGGCAGAAAAGTTTATAAAAGGGACTTCTATTATTGTGAAGTCAGATACTTGAAAATTAGGAAATAATAGATAGTTTCTATTGTAGGCTTCATGAGTTCCCTGACTGGTCATCTTTAATTGCATATGCTCAAACAAGGGATGGTTGTGGAGTGCAAGGAGAGTAGAGAAAATTTATATTAGATGTAAGCTTAGATTCTATTGCAGTGGGTGGTCCTCAAGTATGCAGGAAGATAGTCTCTGCCAGAAGGAAGTTCATCATAAATTTATCTGAGATGGAAAAAAAAAAATTAGATTTGTCAAAACCAATATTGCATACAAGGCCAAAGAATTCAAAAAATCCTGTATTGTACATTATGCAGACATAAATACATTTATTTATACATTCAAATAAATTCATTTGGTTTATACATTATTGTCTCTTTGGCAGATGTGCTTCAGATGATGGGACGTGCTGGCAGACCACAGTTTGATGACCAAGGAAAAGCTGTAATTCTAGTTCATGATATTAAGAAAGACTTCTACAAAAAATTCCTTTATGAACCTTTCCCAGTGGAATCAAGGTAAAGATAAAGCAATCAGAAAAGCTAATCAAACTATAAATAATACTACAAATGAGGAATCAAGAAAAGTGAAACAAAATTCCTGTGCCCAATACCTCCTAAATATTGTGGTCCTAGAGGGAAATAATTTTTTAAAAAATATTATATATCTTTATGCAAAAAAATCCTTTCTTCCATGGATTTTGAAGCACTCTTGGTCTTTTTAGTCCATTTCCAGATAAAACTACAAATGTTTCTCTGGTTTGAGTGTTGTCTCAGGCATTTGAATGAGAGCACAAACTGTTCTTCAGGAGCAGTGTATAGGACAATTATACATGATCCTCAGAACCCTCCCTGAAATGTTGTGACAAATTCTTAATAGGAAAAAAATAGTTGGGTTTCGAACATTTTTTACCTAGAATAATTGTACCATTATAAATACCATATTCTTCAAAATCTCACAAGTTCAAAAAGAAATCTGTATGATGTAAATTATTACTGATATTCTTTCAACACATCTTACACTTCAGAATTGCAGTATTGTTGTCAGAAATGTAGAAGTACCACCTTTTTGTTCCCTTTCTGGACTTAGTCAATACAAAGTTTGCTGTCCAGCATAATGTAATTCATGCATTGATTTTGATATTTATAATATGCTTAGTTGTTCAATGAGAAGCAGAACTAGTTGCATTGGTCTCCCATAGATGCATGTTTCGTGGAGGAATTCTGAGGTATGTGGTAAAGCATGAGCATTACTGAACGCTTTTCTTGGTGATGAAGGGTTAATGAAGTATTGTTCTCCTAAGGAAACTTCATCCCTCAACATAAGCAGTAATGGGACCTCTATCTGCTCAGGAAGTTTGTAGGAGTTTGAGAGTGCTATGCACCTGTGAAATGTAGTTGAAATGGGATGGTGTATTTGAAAGTTAATTTCTGTGGTACACAGATAGACATATAATTTTTTGCAAACAAAGAATGTGGAAACATGCGCTTCATTTCCTTAGGAAATCACACTTTTTTTGACATAAATTGCACTTAGCACAAAAGGCTAGGAGTTGAACTTCTTGAAAATTGTAGCTAATAAATCAAAAGAGCAGTGTGATGATATATCCAGACTGTATGGCACTATTATAAACTAGGAAATCTATTCATAGCAAAGTAGTGTTTCTAAATAAAGTAAGTGTGTCTTCAAAATAACAGTAGCAATCACACCTTGTTCCTGTTTGAAATACTCTAAATACTCTGTGGTTTTAGTAGATTTTTTTGTGTCTATATACTTACTCTATAGTTTGATATATTTCATCTTTCACTATAAACAAAGAATATTTTATCAATCTTCAGCTGAAGATTCACATATTACTAGCAATCTTAAGTTCCATGTAGGTTGTGAACCCATTAACTTAGAGTTGTCTTGAGCTCTTTTGTGATCAAGTATGTGAGGTAAGAGGCTTCATAGCTTCAAAAAGAAATTGGGGGGGTCTTGAGAGTTTTTAGTATTAGAATGCTTTCCCAACTGTTCTATCAAAGAGTATATTTATTAGCTTTGTGTAGTATTTCTAATTTGTAAAATTAAACTTAATAATTTTTTAATTAAAGTTTTTTCTAAAAGCCATTGTCTATGTATTAGTTTTAAGACCTGAATACACAACTCATACTTCAGGCCTTTTTCTCACTGATCATGGGTTTGAAATATAGCACATTAGAAGAAAAAGAAAAAGCACTCTTTATTATGGAATAGCTATTGAATCATTTTTCCAGTTTCTGTTGGACAATCTGGGTAGAACATCTGCAGTTCTTACTTCAGAAGCATACAATCAGTGGTACAGGGCAGTAAAGCAGCTATTCATACCAAATTATTCTTTACTTTTAGCAACAGGGAAAGAACAGTAGGAAAAGAAAAAGTATTATAAGAAAAATTAGGCTGATTCTTAAGGATATTTGCTATTCCCTGATTGAACTGTAGCCAGGCATGATCTCATTAGATACCCTAATGGAGGTCTTTGTTCCATTTAATGACACTAAGCAGTATTTTACTTTGTAAGAATAATTTTAAACTGCTTTTGTTCTTCTGTTTCTGATTTTAGATCTTTCTGAGTAAAAGTAGCAGTTCTATGGCTCTGTTTTGTTGGTTTTTTTGTTTTTTCTTTTTACATTGGAGGAAGATGAGGCAAAATCTGGGGGAAGTAGTTTTGATGTAATTTTACCAGCCCTCAAGTATTTGTCAAGTATTAGCTAAGCCATTGCCACTGTTTAATTTCCTGTTTGTCTTTCCATATGATTCTCTATTGAATTAAGCCAGCATGATCATATGGTCAACATACAGTATTCAGAAGTTACCACTGAGTAGCTCCATCTGAATACATTCCATGAATGACTTAAATTTCTTCATTCTTGGTCCAATCAAAAAATAATTTGAGCTTCATTCCACTATCATTTAAAGAAGATGATTGACCTTGCAATTACATTGCCCCTTTTTTCCCCCTTTTCTCTTTTACCAGAAGATAAATATATAATATTTTCAGATTAAAAGTAATAAACCTTTTAATGCGCAACTCTACAAAATATATTGCCTGTCTTTGTGATTGTTAAGTCAGCTAAGTCCTCTTGTTTTCTGTTCTTCAGCTTGTTAGAAGTGCTGGCTGACCACTTGAATGCTGAAATTGCTGCTGGAACTGTTACTTCTAAGCAGGATGCAATGGATTATATCACCTGGACTTATTTCTTCCGTAGACTTATAATGAACCCAACGTGAGTATAAAATACAAATGCAATTTAATCTGAAGGTAACTTGAGGGTAGAGTTGATCCAAAGGTGATCCTGCTGCTTTCCAGCCTAGGATACTTAACAGTTTCCAGCATGGGAGCATTACTGGCCCACACATGGAATACAACTTCTGTGCACGTTTTTTTAAATTATTTTTTTTTTTGCTCTAAATATAAATGCATTTCTTGGCAAATAATTTTACAATTTAGTGATAACTATAAAATAGCCTTATTGAGAAGGCTACATCAGTATCCCTAAAATAAAACCCCAGATTATCACATTCCTTTAGGTATTGTATTTATAATTGTAAAATCATAGAATAGTTAGGGTTTGAAAGGACCTTAAGATCATATAGTTCCAGCCCTGTGTGGTGGGCAAGGATGCCTCACACTAGACCATGTCGCCCAAGGCTGTGTTACTTTTTTTTTCGCTACCACATTGATATGTTCTGCCCAGTTTTCTATAGAAAATCTATTAAGACCCGGACTTTCCTAATAGATGAGAGAATAGCTATCAGCTGTTTCTCTGTGATTAAGTTTACTTTCATTAAGGTATCATGTTGAAACCATGTGTGCAATATTTTCAATGATTGTTATCATCCTGCCTAGCTCCAGCTGCTATGCAGATCATTCTGAGCTGTTCCAGCTATGTAAGCTGCCTTTGCCACAGCAGTGTCGTGGGTAAATGGTATGTTACCTATAATGGGATCATTCACTCACCAAAATAATGTGGCAAATAAAGAATTAGGCATTTATACCACTAAAGATTTCACTTCTCTAGAGTGCTTCAGAGTGATTTTCCTGACGATTGGAAAAAGGGAAATATAACCCCCATATTCAAGAAGGGGAAAATGGATGACCCGGTGAATTACAGGCCAGTCAGTCTCACCTCTGTGCCTGGCAAAATCTTGGAGCAGATTCTCCTGGAAGGCATGCTAAGGCACATGAAAATCAGCAAGGTGCTTGGTGACAGCAAGCATGGCTTCACTAAGGGGAAATCCTGCCTGACCAATTGGGTGGCCTTCTATGATAGGGCTATGGAACTGATGGACAGGGGTAGAGCAGCTGATGTCATCTACCTGGACTTCTGCAAAGCATTCAACACTGTTCCACACGACATCCTTGTCTCTAAATTGGAGAGACATCAATTTGATGGATGGACCACTCGGTGGATAAGGAACTGGCTGGATGGCTGCATGCAAAGAGCTGTGGTCAATGGCTCAGTGTCCGGCTGGAGACCAGTAACAAGTGCTGTCTCTCAGGGATCGGTGTTGGGACCCGTCTTGTTCAATGTCTTTGTCAGTGACATGGACAGTGGGATTGAGTGCACCCTCAGCAAGTTTGCCAATGACACCAATCTGTGTGGTTTGGTCGATACACTGGAGGGAAGGAATGCCATCCAGAGGGACCTCAACACACTTGTGAGGTGGGCTGATGCCAACCTCGTGAAGCTTAACCATGCCAAGTGCAAGGTCCTACACCTGGGTCGGGGCAATCCCAGGCACAGCTACAGGTTGGGCAGAGAAGAGATTCAGAGCAGCCCTGCAGAGAAGGACTTGGGGGTGCTGGTCAATGAGAAACTGAACATGAGCCAGCTTCAGTGTGCACTCACAGCCCAGAAAGCCAGCTGTATCCTGGGCTGCATCAAAAGGAACATGACCAGCAGGTTGAAGGAGGTGATCCTGCCCCTCTACTCTGCTCTTGTGAGACCTCACTTGGAGTATTGTGTGCGGTTCTGTTGTCCTCAACATAAAAAGGACATGGAACTGTTGGAACAAGTCCAGAGGAGGGCCATGAGGATAATCAGGGGACTGGAGCACCTCCCGTATGAAGACAGGCTGAGGAAGTTGGGGCTGTTCAGCCTGGAGAAGAGAAGGCTGCGTGGAGACCTCCTAGCAGCCTTCCAGTATCTGGAGGGGGCCTATAGGGATGCTGGGGAGGGACTCTTCATTAGAGACTGTAGTGACAAGAGAAGGCGTAATGGGTTAAAACTTAAACAGGGGAAGTTTAGATTGGATATAAGGAGGAAATTCTTTCCTGTTAGGCTGGTGAGGCACTGGAACAGGTTACCCAGGGAGGTTGTGAATGCTTCATCCCTGGCAGTGTTCAAGACCAGGTTGGACAAAGCCTTGGGTGAGATGGTTTAGTGTGAGGTGTCCCTGCCCATGGCAGGGGGGTTGGAACTAGATGATCTTAAGGTCCTTTCCAACCCTAACTATTCTATGATTCTATCCATACTACAGCTAATGTTAAAAACTATGCCACTGCAGACACTGTCCTTTTTTTTTTAGTGTAAAGAGTAAGTGGTGTTATTTTAAAATATCTTGCACTTGAATTGCTGTGTTAAAGTGATTTTATCGGTTTGTCTTTGGCAAGCTTTGATCATGTGGTATGTGTGGTAGATAGATTTTTAAGACACAATATGCAGCACAAAGGTAAGTGTAAAATATAGAAATGCAGTCATTTGATTTAATAGGCAAGCTTTTCCCTATATAAAAAAAGGTTCCCACTGGAATATGAGCTTGGCGTGTTGACTGATGGTCCTTTTTTTCTCAGCAGTTTCTTTAATGTGCAGTGTTGTGGAAAGCTAAATCTGAAGTTATCACAATCTCAGCTTTTAGGTAGAAGTTCTGCTATTCTGAGAGGATTGTGGGAAGAAAGTGGGGGGAGAGAGGAGGGAAGATAAAAACCCACCCTATTTCATTATGAGATGCATATGCTTTGTTGTGAGAAACAAGATGGGCAGATTTTGACCAATGGTGTCCATAATGGCAAGATAGGAATGTATACTGAAGTTTCTAATGAAATTAAAGTCTTTCATTGGAACATCACACATGCAGGTTGGAACAGTTCACAAGCTGTCCTCCTTTACCCCGTCATCCACACAGAAGTACTCAGCATTCTTTCTGTACTTAGTCGTTCAGGGAGGATATGAAGATATGAGGTAATAAAGGATATTGCTGAATATCAAAGAGGTCACTTCTAGATTTCAAGGGCAAATGCAGTGGATGTGCACGCTTTCTATTCTTTGACATGGTAATAAATTCTATTACATTTCAACCAAAGTTACTAAGCTAGTAGATTTCCTGGACCTACTACTGTCTATAGTATTTTCAGACCTCCTTCAAGACAAGCAGTTCCAGCATTGTCAGTGCTTGTATAAGATACATCAAAGGAAAACTGAAAAGTTTCATGAGGAGAAGGCAGTGACAGTTGGATAACTGAATAAATTGCAGTATGGTAATGGAGTTTCCTGTGCCATAGATGAGCATATGAAATGATTGATAGCACCAAACAAGAACTATTTGTGGCCTTTAATAATCCGAAGGATTTAAGGTTGGTTTTTTTTTTTGAAAGAGTAAGAACGCAATGGATGAATTTTGGTATGAGTTGTTACACAGTAAGTTGTTACACTCAGTGTCACTTGATACAGTGTTCTCTATCATGTCCTGCCCCTAAGCAATTTTGTTGACTTTCCCTGCATTTTGAAACAAGAACTACTTTCCAGCCAGCAGGTGATTTTACCTTAGTGGTGAATAAGTAATTCCTGTATGCATGATTGGTAAATTGCCTTGGGATTCATTGACATAAAAGTCATTGCATGTGATGCTGTAAATCCCCAAAATAATGGGCTTAGGTAATATACAGAAGATTTATATTCTCATTTATTGCCAGTTTTACCTACTTGTATATTAAAGCTGCATAAACAAATGTAGGATTGTTTGATTCCAATCCAGTCACATAAAATGCCTTACTGAATGCCTACAATTTGTACTATTTAATGCTAATCCACCTTTGTTGTGAGATAGAGATCAAAGTATCCTTTTGCTCTAAGAATCCAGGTTTCTTCTAAACATGCAGTCATTATGATTTTTTTTCTGGTACACTTGAGATACTTAGTTAAGCTTGCAATAATGGCTTTTTTTGCATGTTGCAATACTTCTTTTCATCAAACCAGTTTAATTTCCTAGTTTGATGTACCTTGAAATCTGTGAAACGGGGTTTTACTATCTAGTCAAAGAGGAGTAATTGAGCTGTTGATTTGAGGGAGTGGAGTAGCTGAGTGCTAGACTAGACCAGACAGAGATGTGCATGCTATTCAAGAGATGATGTGCAAATGAGAGGGGTGGTCCAAATAAAACTGTTAATCAAAATGTATCAGTCTCAATATCCAGAGTTTATTCCCTGTTTTTTCCCTCCCCCAAAGCAATCATTCCTAATTGTAGAGGGGTTTGAATTTGCACATGAAGTCAAAGTTTCTTTGCTACTTCAGTCAAGTACTACAACATGTTCCCCTTTCCATATACAACTTATGTCAATATGTTCTTTACTTATTCAAGATCATACAAAACACATCAGTGAAATGCCCTGTTCTTTGAAATGGGCTATTTTGAGAGGCTTGTCTATCTCCTTTCCTTGGCTGAAATTCTTTGACTATTTCATTCTTTTACCCTTATAAAAGATTATAATCTCCAACTTTCTAAAGAGAAATGGCTATGGGAAGCATGTTCTGTAAATCAGGTTATGATACTTTCCAGATACATGTGCAGTAAAAGAGAAATAGAAATTTACAACATATGTAAAGTTAAGCAGAATCAGCTTTCATTTGGAAAGCTAACTTTTAGATACTCTAATATCCACATCAGTGTTAAAATGTGTTTGGTTTTTTATGAATTTATAAATATATATGAGAGTCTGTGAATGTGCACACTTACAGAATAGGTTTTCTGTGTAAATTCCTTGTGAAGACCTGAAAAAATTATTTTATTAATTCATTCCAATAATTATTTTTAAGGTTTTCTTTTTTTACTTTATGTCAGTCTTATGAAGCTTTCTGGAATGAAAGAATAATGTATAGTAATTTATAATTAAATTATCTCAGACTGATGCCATTACCATCATGCACTTATATTTTACTTTAAATTTCCTTTTCTCAGTATGATTAAGCTGAACATGTCTAATAACATGAATAAAACAGCTGAATAA